GTTCTGCCTTCTCCTGGCATATGGTGACCATATTTCCCAGGCCAGCGTTGGGCTGTGGCATTTGAAGAGGGCATTCTATATTCTTTTAATGCCTTTAAAACACCTTCTGATTTGAGAATGTCTCACAGGAAGGCTATTTTTAGTTGTATATTTTAATAAAGGCAGTTCATAAAAATAATAAAAGTATATGAGATGGGAACCCATACTTACTCTGAAAGAGCTGCCTCGTAAAGCCTGCTCCCCCCATCCTAGCTGGGTGACGGGGTGTAGAAACCGCTTCCTAATTGTCATTTAATTAAAGGCATAGCAGTAAATAAAAATATCTGCTGAATAAGAGCATGACTTTGAAACATGGTGACCCTGAAGTCATCTCCAGTAATGGGGATACATTAGAAAAACTTCTAGGTTTTTAACTGGTGCATAGTCGCTGCACTTATTTATAGGATACAGTGTTGCATTTCAATATTCGTATACAATGTATCACACCCTATCAGGGTAATTGACATATCTCCCACCAAACCTGTGTTATTTCTTTGTGTTAGAAATACCCCAAATCCTCTCTGCTGGCTATGTTGAAATACACAGTCATTTTTGCCAACCACAGTTTTTTGTCTGTTTCTCTTGTTTTTGAGGCTCATGCTAGGCAAGCACTCACCACTAAGCCGCACCCCCACTAAGCCGCACCCCAAAGCCTCCTTATTTTTACGTCTACATTTTAAATGAATCCATAGTCTACATAAGACACAGAGAGGGTGACATGGGCTTCTGAGTAACCTACTACAAAGCAAGCAGATCCCCAAGTAGTGGGCTAATGTTCCCCCAAAAGATATACCTACACCCTAAACTCCAGAACTAGGAATGTGAACTTACTTGGAAAAGGGACTTTGCGGTGTCATTAAGAAACCTTGAGATGAGATCACCTGGATTTAGGGAGGGTCCTGAACCCAGTACCAGGTGTCCAATAAGAGGAGAGGGAGAGAGAAGTCACCCCTACAAAGATAGATGTGGGACCTGGAGAGGTGCCCCACGGCCAGGGGCACCTGGTCCCAAAAGCCAGAGAGGTAAAGGGAGGAGCCTCCTCTGGAGCCTGAAAAAGATGTGTGGCCTTGCCCACACCTGGGTGATAGATTCCTTGCCTCCAGAACTCCAGGAGAATGCATTTCTCTTACTTTAAGCTATCCTCTGGTTTCCTGTGGTTTGTTACCATGACCCTAGGAAACCAGCACACCCCACAATTCTATCACTTAAAACTGCAGCCAGTGTTCAGCTTCTTGGTTTTGTCAATAAAGGTTTACTGGAACACGGCTGCCTGGGTTGTCTCTGGCTGACTGTGAGCTGCAGTGCAGTCCTGCTCACCTGCACTGGAGATGGAAGTACAAAGCTGAGGTACTTACCCTCTGGCCTTTCAAGAAAGAGTGAGCCAACCCTTGACTTAAAACAGAGGCTGGGGGCATGGCTTAAGTGGTAGAACCCTTGCCTCAGAAGCACAGGGCTCTGAACTCAAACCCCATTACTGCCAAAATAAATATAAAAGTATCCCAAGATAGAAAAAAACCACAATAAATATAAATGTATCCATATGTTTATATGTAATTAACATTGTAGTTTATTAAAAGTAATAGATAAGGAGGCAAAGATCAAGAGGATTGAGGTTCGAGGCCAGCCCGAGCATAAAGGTAGCAAGACCCCATCTCAACCAATAGCTGGGTGTAGTGGTGTGCACCTGTCATCCCAGATATTCAGGAAGCATAAATAGGAGAACCACAATCTTGGCTGGCCTGGGTAAAAATCTGAGACCCTATCTGAAAAATAACTAAATCAAAAAGGGCTGGGGGAGTGGTTCAAGTGGTAGAGCACCTGCATACAACTGTGAGGCCCTGAGTTCAAACCCCAGTACCACCAAAATAATAATATTGATAATAAGAATAGGTAATTATTTACTGGTGAAAAGACTGAAATGACAAGAGATTACTCAGTATGAAGTATATTTCTCTCCATCTGGACACCCACTTCCTTTGTCCCCGCCACAGAAGCAAATACTATTATCACTTCCTTGTGTACTTTTGAGAACCTCTTCACTCATATAATTGTCATAGGCTGAATCACCTCTCCACCCCAAGCACACATCTAGTGCCACGCAAGGTGACCTTATTTGGAGACAGGGTCTCTGTAGAGGTGATCAAGTTAGAAGGAGGTCATGAGGATGGTCTGTAACCCAATACATCAAACAATGAGGGAAACACAGACACATGTGTACAAGAAGGCCACACGAAGATGGAGACAGAGATGGCAGAGCCAAGCAATGCCAGAGACTGTCAAGTGAACCACCAACAAGAAAGGGAAGAACAGATCTTCCCTCACAGCTAGCAGAAGAGATCAACTTGGCCAACACCTTGACCTTGGAATTCCAGTGTGTAGAACTGTGAGACTCTAAGTGCTAACCGTATGGCAACCCTAGCAAAGAAGTCAGTAAGTGACCATGTGTCCACACCCTGTCCCTGAGTGACAGCAAACACTATGTGTCATTTAGTGTCTTGCTTTGGTTTCACATTGTATCTTGAAGATCATCCCATGGGCTGGTCATTCTCCAAGAGCTTGTCTCTTGTCCACCATCCCTGCTCTTCCATCCTGCTCTGCGGCCCAGGTGCCACCTGTGTGCACCTCATCCAGCCTTTGTCATCATGCTTCTAGCCTCTGATTGGGTCGGCCAATGGGAGATCACAGCAAGAAACTAGGTAGTTAGGTTCTGAAACGGTCCTGCCTCTCCGCAGCCACAGCTCCTGTATAATCAGTCCCCTCTACCATGACGCCTGTTCTCCTGGGCTCCAGTGACAACCTGTCCTCCATTGGCCCCGGTGGGTGGGGCATTGGGGTCCCACGGTGCTGCTGGCTCTGGTATTTGGCCTTCGTTGTTATTTCCTTAATCTTGTCTTTATTTGTTCCCTGGGGCTGCTATAAAAATGACCACAAAAATGAGCTGGTGCCTCACACCTATGATCCTAGATAGTCAGGAGACAGAGATCAGGAGGATGGTGGTTCAAGGCCAGCACAGAAATAGCAAAGGGCTAGTGGAGTGGCTGAAGTAGTAAAGCACCTGCCTACCAAGTATGAAGACCTGAGTTCAAATCTCAGTATCATGCACTGAGCAGCTTAAAACAGCAGAAAGGCATTCTGTCACAATTTTGGAAGCAGAGCCTGAATTTAAGGTGTCACCAGGGCTATGCCCCTTGGGAGGCCCTGGGGAGGCTTCTTTGTGTCTTTTCCAGCTTCTGAGGCTCCTGTGCTCTTTGGCTTGTGGCCGCATCACTCCCAGCTCTGCCTGCATCTTCACATGGCTTCTCCTCTGGGTGTCCCCTGCAAGGACACTTGTCATTGGATTTGGGTCCCCACAGACATCCCTGGATGGTTGTGTTTTTAGATCCTTCATTACACTGGCAAAGACTCTTTTTCCAAGCAAGGTGACATTTACAGGTACTGGGGTAAGGACACGGACATGTCTTTTAGGAAGGGCCACCATTGTCCCAATGCAATGCACCATTCACACTTCTAAATAACCTGTTCTCAGACTGCATTATTTAGGTTCCTTTGAGTAGGATACCTGCTTCCTGCCGACTGGTGCATTTTTTTCTAGAACATACACAGCCACCGGCTCTATTCAGCAAGTGCACCTTGCTGAAAGTGAACCTACAGACCTTCGTTGACAATTAGTAATAAAACAACAACTATCGCCTGCTTCCTCCTAGTGCCTCCAGTTTGATGCTTTGTAAAGACAGATCTGCCAAGGCCCCCTTCAGCAGCGTAATATAGAGGGAATGGGCCACCTATCTGAAACTCTGTCCCTAGCAGTGTTTTCTGCAGGCTTGGGCCACAGCAGACACATGTGCTCCCTGCATTTGGGGTTTGTTGCGGAAGAGATTGGTTCAATGGAGGGCAGATTCAGAAAGATATACAAATGGAAATGGGCATGGCAGCTCACCCCTGTAATCCCAGCTACTCGGGAGGCAGAGATTGGGAGGATCAACATGTTTGGATGCAAGCCTGAGCAAAAGTTAGTGAGACACCCTCCCCCCCCATCTCAATCAATAAGCTGAATGTGGTAGCTTCCACCTGTCATCCCAGGTGAAGAAGATGGCAAAAGCTTAGGGGGAAAAAAGCACTTCAGTACAGCAGAGGCACGTGGGAAAGAATAAGGAAATACTGACATTCTGGAGAGAAAATGGGGCTTTTCCTATAAAATTTCCCTGATCTAACAGTGAGTACAGAGAATACATAGAGAAGTAGAATAATATCTTAGAAACTTGGCATTCTTACATCCTTGAACCCCAGGATAACACAGAATTATCCGCACTCTACAGCAGGAGGCACAGAGGCTCTCAGAGGTTGGCTGGCCAAGAAGTCAGCTACATGGTTGGCAGGTGGAGGCTGAAAAATTCATCAGGAACCTGCATAATGCTTATAGGACTGGAGTTGAAACTGTAGGTACTCCTTGTGGAGCACCCCCAAGCTCACATCTCAGTTTCTGTTTTGTAGCTCCATGACTTTGAGCTTCGCTCATCTTCTCCTCAGTCTCCCTGTTTGCAAAATGGGGCTGATGATGTTCAAATTGCATGCTCAGTAACTGATTCATGATGCCAAGCAGCCTCTCGAAGCCGGTTTCCCTCTTTTACAGGGAGGCAAGAATCCCCAATCTTTTTCCCCCACTGTTAGAAATGTCTTAGGACTCGACAGTAAAATACAATAGCCAAGGGAGAAGAAAACAACTCCCCCTGCTCAGATCCTTGCAATCCGCCGCGGATGTTGGGAACTGGCGCCCCCTACCGACATTACCGGGGCATTTGCTGTCTTCAGCATCCGCTCAAGAATCTGCGCCTGCGCAGAATGCGAAGGCTGCGGCTCCCTCTTAGAGGTGGGACTTCCTCGCGCTGCTCTGCCTTTAGCCCCCGCCTACTTCCGGTGGGCAGGCCGCGGGCTGAGCCACGTGACTCGTTAAAGATGGCGGCGCCCAGGGAGGCAGCGTGAATCTGGTGGGAAGGCGCTGTGGGGTCGGGGCTGGACTCAAAGGTGGGGACCTTTCGTCATGTCACGACTCATCGTGAAGAACCTCCCGAATGGGGTGAGTGAACATCCACGGAGCGGGGACCTGAAAGTGGGGGCTGCGGTGTGGGGGAAACGAGGCGGGAGAGAATTGAGGTTTTTTTCGCTTAGCGATCTGGAATCCCAAAGGGGTGGGATCCTGGGCTTATCCCCCAGGGACGGCTGGGGAAGGGGAGTAGTGGCTGCCGACTGATGGGCTCCCGACCCCAAACCCGACGTCTCTTCCGCACCCCACCTTGTGCCCAAGAGTCCTCCCACGGTCCCGTCTCGTCGCGTTTTCGTTTTGATCCGTGACTGGCTTTACCCTGAGAAGCTGTTTTCCTTCCACCCCCGTCTTCGGGGCTGGTAGAAATAAATACTGAGTGCTGGGACAGGCTTTAGACCATGTATTCAGTAAGTGGAGAGGTGTGACCCAGCCATACTTTGCTGTTTCCCTAGAGCCCAGCACAGACGCTGGCATGTGGTGGGCCGGGGACCTGAATGGAGAAACGAATGAGTGGATGTGGTGATGCACGCGTGGATGCAGTGTATTAGAGTTGATCATCCTTTCCATTTCACGGTAGCTTTTCCTGAATGAGAGCACCCCACGCAGTAAGGTCATGCCTCAAACCCAAGACAATGAGCCGCTTGGACGGCTTGAGAATATCGTCTAACCCTTGCTTCTGTCCCCTGGCAACTCTTTCCCTAGAAAGAGAATGCGAAACGGTTTGTTTTATTGTTGTGGACTTTTTTCCTTCACTTTTTTTTTTCTTTGTTGGGTGAGAGGGACCCATGACAGGTTTTTAAAAATTTGAACAGTACAGTAGTGTATAAAACGAGAAGCAAACTCTTTTTCTCCATCCTGCTTGTTATCCCTCCACAGGAGTAGACATCTTTAGATGGCCTGTTTTTAGAATTTACCACAGGTATCTCTGTGTGCCCAAATACTTTGGGCACTCCTCTTTTTCTTGGCACGTGTACCCTAGTGAGCGACTGTCTGCTGCCTTCTCACTTAAATCTTCCTTCAACTTAAATCCTACAGTATCCATAATTTTGTTTATTATTCCTCCATCATTTGCCATACATAGCATACTTTAAAAATATTTAATAGTAATCCATCCACCAGATGCATTTATTTATTTTAATTAATAGTACAAAGAAGGGTTCATACCATAATTCCATAGATGCTTACAATGTACTTAGAACAAGTTCACCACCTCCTATAGTCCCTGAACCCCACTCCCTCCTCCCCACTTTTCCAACAGTGGTGGATTTCATTATGCTGTCTTCATTTATATATATAAGATGTACTTTGATCCCTTGGCTTCCCCCTCCCCCAGTACTCTCTCCTGTTATCCCCTCTCCCCTCCCACCAATTCCCACCCCCCCAGACAGTCCCTCTTTACCACTCATGTGCTGTTATTATTATTGTTGTCACTATCATCATTTTAGGTCTAGATTCCCCATATGGGCAAAAACATGCAATGTTTTGCCTTTTTGAACTTGGCTTATCTCTCTCAACATGCTGATTTCCAGTTCTATCCATTCTCCTGCAAATACATATTTCTTCTTTATGGCTCACTAATTCTCCATGGTAAGGTACACCCCATTTTCTTTACACATTCCTCTGTTGTAGGGTGCCTTGGCTGATTCCACAGCTTGGCTGCAGTAAACATGAGTGTGCAGGATTTCTCTTGTATCCTGATTCACATTTCTTCAGCTACATGCCCAGGAGGGGTATACTGGGGTCATACAGTAGGATCCTAAGCTATCCACTGGATTTAAACAGGTGTCTCTTGAAGCCTCAATTTGTGGCGTGGAAATTTTTTCCCCCCTCCCAGCTTCTCCTTGTGGTTGCTTCTGTCTGTTGTCTGTCTTGTGTGATAAATGAAAGAATAACAAAAATATTAACAATGCTGGCTAGCTCTTTAAGAGCCCTGTGTGCCAGGCACTGTTCCTGGTGTTTTAGGTGAAATTATTCATTTAGTCTTCACCATAGTCCTGTAAATCAGGTTCCATTCTTATGCTCATTTTAAAGGTAAAGAAACTGAGGCATGCCAAGATAAAGTGATTTTCCTGAAGTCACACAGGTGGTAATTCATACAGCATGCACTCATCTTGATCATTTTCCAACAGATAAACACTTAGTGATGAGTATTCGTGATGATGTTGCTGACATTGTAGATAGAAATGGACAAGACTTGATTCCCACTTTTATGGAGCCTGTAGGGTGGTGGGGGAGACAGACACCATATCTGGGTGCAGGGATGGAGTTAGGAATTGGGGGCTATGGGAGCACAAAGGGGATTGGTTACCTGACCATCTGAGAGGTAGGACAGCTTCTAGGAAGAGGAGATGATTGGACTGAGAATGGGGAAAATTTAGGAAGTCACCCAAGGTGACTTGGCAGAGGAGTGATGGGGTCAGACTTGAGTGAGGTGTCTCTCATGCAATGGGGACATGAACTCACTGTCCTTTGTACATCTGAGCTGAGTCACAGCCCTTGATTCTGTAGATTTGGGGCAGATCATTTATCTATAAGCTCCATATCACCTCTGTAAAATGTACATAAAACTTCCTAACTCAAACCAGGCATGGCAGTGCACACCTGTAATCCAGGAGACAGGAGGATTATAAGATTTTCTTGAGAACAGAGTTATTAAAAAACTGTCTCTGAGGCCAGGTATGGTGGTGCAGGCCAGTAATCACAGTTACTTGGAAGGTAGAAAAGAAAAACAAAAAGGCCAGAGCAGGAATAGCTCAAATCACAGAGCTCTTGCCCAGCATACACAAGACCCTGGGTTCAATCCCCAGTGCCACAAAATAAATAAATCATTGCCTTGGAAAATTTCTCCCTATCCAGCTGTCAAATCCTCTAGGTTCTTGAATTTTTAAACTTATTTTGAAGCCAAGTGTCATGCAATTCTAGCATTCAGAAGGCCGAGGCAGGAGGATTACAAGTTCAGGGCCAGTCTGGACTACATAGTGAGATGCTACCCCTAAAAAAGTTTAAGCTTGTTTTGGCTATTCATGGGACTGAGTGCCCTTTGAGTCCCACCACCACACACACAGATCTCTGTCTCTGTTCAGAAAACCTCGCTGAGTGGTGAGGGCAGCTTGGCCAGTGTGAGAAGAACCAGCCAGAGCCAGTCCTCCCTAGTGAGGGCTTCTTCACCAAATTATAGTGTCCTCATGTTAGTATTCCTTTGCTACTAAGCTAAGTGGCTTAAACGTACCAATGTAACCTTGCAGTACTGGAAGTCAGGGTGCTGGCAGGGCTACAGTCCTTCTGGAAGCTTCTAGAGGTTGCCTTACCACCTTGGGTCATAGCCACATCATTTAACTTCAGTCTGCAAAGCTGGTAACCTAGCATCTTCCAGTTTCTCTCCCCATGGCCTCTTAGAAGGACCCTGTAATGACCTTGGGTCTCCTGGCTAATCTAGGATCATCTCCCCACTCAGGATCTTAATCACTTCTCCAAATCCTTTTTGCCGGGTTATGTAATGTAACCACACGTTCCGGGGGGTGGTAGGACTGGGACATCTTTTGGGGGGTTCCTTTATTCTCTCTGTCACAATTAGCAACTATTTCCATACCTTCCCATATTCCTTCACGCACTTATTCTGACAAGCCTTTGTTGGGTGACTGCTGTGTAGCAGCCTCAGTGCTGGTGCCGTGATTGGACCTTATCCTTGGAGCGACCCTGTGGGTAGGAAGACAGCACAGTGTGAAGAGTCCCGTTTCCTCATCAGTGAAGTGAGTGGAGATTCTGGGAAGTGTTAGAGTCAGAGCCAGGACCTGGCTTGCTTGCCACCTCCTCATCACAGGTCACCTTTGCCAGGGGGACCCCCAGCTGTCCTTCACCACGCCCTTTCTGCTCTAGATGAAGGAGGAGCGGTTCAGGCAGCTGTTCGCCGCCTTCGGCACGCTGACTGACTGCAGCCTGAAGTTCACCAAAGATGGCAAGTTCCGCAAGTTTGGCTTCATCGGCTTCAAGTCTGAGCAGGAGGCTCAAGTGGCTCTGAGTCATTTCAACAAGAGCTTTATTGACACGTCCCGGGTCACGGTGAGTTGGTGGGGGTCGTACCTCACCCGCCTACACGCAGTGCCACCACTTAACCTTTCGCATAACCTTCTGGTTCCAAACTTGTCCTCCTTCAGGCTGTGAGTCTTTGGCCTACCTCACAGGTTCACATAGTGTGTAAGAATTGCCTGAGAGCTTGTTAGAACTGTGTCCTGGGTCCATCCCCAGAGTTTCTGATAAGCAGGAGACCAAGAATAGGCCGTCCAACAAGCTGCCAGGTTTTGCCTGTGCTCTGGTCATGCTGTGAGGACCACAGGTGCAAGTCCTTTATTCACTCATCCATCGGTGAGCCCAGCACTCACTCAGTGCCGGAAATGTAGACTGAAAGGGGTACCGCAGCCTGTGTGTGTTCAGCTACCTGCTGGCAGGCAAACAAACCACCACTGGATAAGTGCACTGCTTGTGTTTTGTGTCATCTGGGCTGTGACGGGGCAGGCACTGGAGACCTTGGGAGAACAAAGGAGGCCCCAACCCTGGCTAGGGAGGACCAGGAAGACTACCTGGAGGAGGCTCCACTCGTGCTATTCATTACGTTTAATGACACGATAAGGCATCTCCAAGGCTGTGTTGAGAAGGAGAAAAACAGTGCTGGACAAGTGTGTATCACATGCTCCCACTGATACACAAGATTCCTAGGTCTGTGCGTGTGCGATAGCCGCAGGAAGAGTCAGATGCTGGTACTTTTTCAAAATATCACTTCCTCTCTCTAGGTGATAGGGATTAAAGTAACTTTTTAAGGCTTTCGTTGTGCTCTGTCCTGTTGTTTGAACTTTGTACAAAGACCACGTCATTATTACAGAGCCAATTTTTTTTTTTTTATATAAATTCACTTTTTTTTTTTGAAGACCACGTCTTGCTATGAGGTCCAGGCTGGCCTTGAACTCACAGTCCCGCTGCCTCAACTGAGTTATAGGTGTGTGCCACCACACCTGTCAGAAACAGTTATTTAAAAAGGCCACACAAAAGGGAGGTTGCCGTGGGGAGAGTGGTTGGCTGAACTGTGGCTGGTAGTGGCTTGTGGCAGTGCCATGCAGGCTTCTGAAGGACCAGCCCTCCCCAAGGTCACCTTCCAGAGTGTGTTGGATGTGTTAAGGTAGAGAGGAAGTCCTCCACACTCTCCATGCTCCCGGAGTCACCCCATTTTCCCCGGGACCCTGAAGTTGTTCTCTGGGGCGAGCCCAGCTCGCCTCACTATAATTAGGAGTCATCCTGGTAGCCTCGGCATTGCCCCCACCAGGCCCTGGCTGAGCGTGTGGCCAGTGTCAGCCATACCCATCATTCTGTATAGGTGGTTAAGAACTCGGAATTCTTGTTCCTGAGACACCCTGAGTTCCAGTTTTCACTTAGTCACTTGTTAACTGTGTCACCGGGGCACGTGGCTTTCTTCTCGCTTTAATTTTCTGGTGTGAGAAGTGGGAAGCACAGCAACTCCCACTCCCCACCGTGGGGAGGCTCGGCAAATTGGCACTCACAAAGTGGTGATAGGGCCTGTACAGAGTCCTCAGTGGGTGGTCACTATAACAATGACTTTAAGAGGGACAAAGCCAGGCTGGGGGTGGTAAGTCATTTGCTTCAACCCAACAAGTCATCAGCAGCTTCTCATCTCTAAAGCTTAGGCACTGGTGCTGAAGGTGGCCTTGTGCCTGGGTGTGAAAGTCACCTTCTTCTTCCCACTCAGGTGGAGTTCTGCAAGTCATTTGGGGACCCAACAAAGCCCCGAGCCTGGAGCAAACATGCCCCAAAACCGAGCCAGCCCAAACAGCCTTCACAAGACTCTGCTCCCCCAGAAACTAAGAAGGTATGCAGGTGGTCACTCCAACCCTGTCCCTGTCAGTGGGGCAGTCACTCTCTGGGAGGGAGGTGAGGATCTCTTGGATGTATCCTGCAGGTGGGCCTGCAGGGCCACGCAGCTCCAGCTCCCCTCTCCCTCCACCATCCAAGCCTCACCACCTGCCTTCTGCTTTCAGGACACCAAGAAGAATAAGGTACCAAGTGAACTGGAGAAGGTGAGTCCTGAGGACCCAGCAGGAGGGCGGCACAGGCACAGGAGGGTGGAGGCTGGTCCTGGAAGCAGAATGCCCTGCCTCTCCTCTCTCCTTGTCCTGGCTCCTGGTTTCTCCGTCTTCTCTGATCAGCAAAGAGTCTCCTTGGCTTTTGTCAACTCACCCAGCTGACCCTTACGGTCCACTAGAGATGGGGAATGGGGGTGAGCTTGAAGGTGCTCTGCCCTCCTGAGGACTGGAAAGGCTGGATACTTAACCTCTGCCACTTCTTCTTGCACCTCTGCCACCAGCTGAAGGAAGACACCGAGTTCCAGGAGTTCCTTTCAGTTCACCAGAAGCGGACACAGGTGGCCACTTGGGCGAATGATGCCCTGGCCATTGAGCCCATGAGGGGGAAGAGCAAGCTGGCCAGTGACTACCTGAACTTTGACTCTGATTCAGGCCAGGAGAGTGATGAGGAGGCAGCTGAGGAGGATGCAGAAGGTGAGGGTATGTGTAGAGAGGTTGCAGTGTGAGGAACGGCTCTCCCCGTGCTGTTACACAAGGATTTTCCTGATACTCTCCTGTCCCTCCTTCCTGCTACCTATCTACATCACCTGTCACCAGACGTCATACAGAATGTCCTTTCTACTTTTACACAAAGTATACTGCACACCAGGGTACCAAGTGCAAAGGACAGAGTGACAGGTGTGTGCTGAACAAGGCGAAGGCCTAGTATAATTGGCACTCGTGTTGTTCTTGGGATTTTTGCTGAGTGAGTTGATTACAGCTGCTCCTGCCTCAGGGCGGAAGTAGGTAACTATGTGGGAGGATGGATGCCTTAAGTTGTAACATGCTGTACACCTTAAATACATGTGATCAAGCTATTAAAAAAGGTTAAGTAAAGACTAACGCAAATGGTGTGGGTTGAGGAGGGCACAGCTGGTGGCAAGCAGTCTCCACATTTATGACAAACATGATACCAAACCTGATTCTGCTTATCATGGGATTCACTGGGGCTTCTGGGCACCGGGGCCCTGGTCTGGTGGGCACCTGGCCTCTACCTCTTTTTGAGTCTCTGGTTTGCTCACAAAGGTCACTGACGGCATCTCCCTGTTTCTCCAGAGAAACAAGGCCTGGAACCAAAGGCAGCCGTACAGAAGGAGCTATCTGACATGGACTACCTGAAGTCCAAGGTGGTGCAGGCTGAGGCGTCCTCATCCTCAGAGGGAGAGGAGGAAGAGGACAGTGAAGATGAGGCGGTGAACTGTGAGGAGGGCAGCGAGGCTGAGGGTGGGGCCTCCTCTGCTGCTCCTGCCCAGCAGGAGAGTGTGAGCCAAGGGGCTGGCCCAGATCGAGGGGCCCTGCCTGGGAGCAGGAGACCACAGGACACCACAGCAGAGGTGTGTGTGCATCGTGAAGGACGGAGGGAGGAGGGGAGGAGGGCTGGGCCTGCGTGTGCTGCAGACGTGCTGCAAACCTTAGCCAGCCACTTACTTGCTGGGCGTGCCCTCTGAGTTCACTTACCAACACACCTGCCTTCCAGAGTCAGAGGGTGGAAATGAGCTAGCTGGGGCTGTGATCGTCGTACTTTGGATTTAGCAGCAGGGTAGGCAGATGTGAAAGACCTCACCAACAAGAGATGAATCAAGTGCACACTGCACACTAGGTGAGGTACGGCCAGGTCGTTGACTCTCATCGGATCTTGTGGGTGGGGTGTTCTACTTGTTCCCTTTTGTAGATGAGGAAACTGAGGCCCAGAGAAGGGAAGTGATTCCCTGGGTCATGGCTGGAAGGTGGTGGTGTCAGGACTCAGCCTAGGCCTGCTGGGGCTCGGAGGTTGAAATTATGAAGCTGGCTGCATCCTTGAGGTTGGCCGCTGCCTTGTCTCCACATGGAGTCCTCTGCTGCAGAGTTGGCAGTTTCACATGTAGGCCCTGCGTCCCCACCAGAAGTGTCTGCTCTCCCACATGGAGGGGACAAAGGGAGGCTTCCTCCCCTTTCTCTTTTCTTTCCTCCCTCCTTTTATTTGCTGCCTCTTCTAGCTACCACATCCTATCCACAGAAGTCTCATAGTTCTGGGTTCAAATCCCAGCTCTGACCCTTAGTGGTTTCCAGGCCTCAAATGAGCTGCTCCAGCCCACAGGTCTGTAATCCTCATCTGCAAGTGATGCTTCTCACTGCGTCTGTCCCTGCAGCCAGTTCCCGAGCATGTCTCCCTACCCCCCACCCGCTGCTCCTCCCCCCAGCCTTCAGGGCGCTAGAGTTCAGGAACGTTCAGACCCAGGAAGGTCACCGTGTGTGCTGCGTGCTGCCCCAAGGGCCTGCCAGCACCTATGCAAGTACATTGATGCTTGTGGAACCAAACAGGGCCATTTGGGCTCCATGTGACGTGGGAAGCCATTGACAAGTGCCGGCGTGGCGGGAAATGAGCTCAGGGCAGGGTTTGTCTCCAGAGGAGTTACCAAGAACTTAGGTTGTTCAGAGCTTTTGGAGTCCAGAGCTACAGGAAAAGCTCCGGAAGCCAGAATGCCTTTGTATTATAGGTGCAGGAGGACCCTGGCACCTGCAAACTGCTGGGCACATTGCATGCCGGTCTGCCTTGCATCAGGGGTAGCAGGTGTCAGTGTGTCTCCAGCTCCTTGTCATCCCTCTGGCTGTCCTTGTTGTCTGGGACCCCTGAGCCATGGCCTTTAAGCCTGCATCTCCATCGCAGTGGCAGCTCTGCAGTTGTTGCCTCTGCTTCTGGCCAGACTCTACTTACCACAGGGACAGGTACCTGCTGCCTTTCTCACCTTCCCGCACCTGGGAACCCACCATGGCCTTTCCTCTGTTCTTTGCAATCAACTCAGACAGAGAAGCCAGCAAACCAGAAAGAGCCCACCACTCCCCACACTGTGAAGCTACGGGGAGCACCATTCAATGTCACAGAGGTACGTGCTGACAGATGAGGGTAGGATGCAGGAGCCTTGACGGCACCCCTCTGTTGAGGGTCAGTGAGGGCATGACCTAAAGGAATTGAGGCCAGAAGGCTGATTTTAAGGTCACAGGCTTTATTGTCGTAAGGAAACAAGTGGTTCCATCAAGTCAGGGACACTGACGTCTACAGCAGGTGGGCAAACTTTCTATAAAAGGGGGCGGGGGCAGCTGGTAAATATTCAAAGCCTCATGGTCAGTCCAGCCTCTGTTGGGACTACTGAACTGTCCTCTTACAATAGAGAAGCAGACTTAGACAGTAGGGAAGCCAAGTAGGCATGGCAGCATGCCAGTAAAACTTGATCTGCAGAAACAGGATGCCGGCTATAGTTTGCTGACTCTGGGCCTACCGTAGTACAGAGCACCTTTAATTTGGCCTCTGCCTCCCACGATATAAGCCTGTATCATCACACCTGGTCAGTATAGAAAATTTAAAAAGATGTAGCTTTAGAAAAAGGATGTGAAAGCCATCTACAAGGAAGATGACTGTAAGTCACCCACACTCAATCAAGAATCGGGTGCTAACTAGATGCGAGGGTGCGTGTGTTGGTTCCTGCAGGCTAATGACCACAGTGGCCTACTGTCCCTGGCAAACCTGGGCAGCCTGTCCAGCACTACTGTACTCCACCCAGTAACAACCATCTCTGCCTTAGTTCTAAAAAGCACTCTATGAGTAGGAATTATTGTGAAGCCTTTTTTCCTCATTGCAAAGTATCATGAACACCATGAGTGTGGCATATACTCTTACATTATTTTCTACAGTGTCCAGGTAAGCTGTGATGTACTTACCCAGTCCTCTAAGTTGGGACATGGGCTCATTCCAGTTTTCTATTACTAGAAATGATGCAAATCCTTGTGAACGGGGTCAGCTGAGTTTTTCTGTAAAGGCCAGGTGTTAAATATTTTAGGCTCTGTCATACATTCTTTTTCTTTTTCTTTTTTTTTTTTTTTTTTTGCGGTGCTGGGGTTTGAACTCAGGGCCTGCACCTTGAGCCACACCACCAGCCCTTTTTTTGTGATGGGTATTTTCAAGTTAAGGTCTCAAGAACTACTTGCCCAGGGTGGCTTTGAACCTCAATCCTCTTGATCTCTGCCTCTGAGTAGCAAGAATTACAGGCATGAGCTACTGTTCCTTGCTAAAATTTTGATCTTTAGCTTTTTTTTTTTTTTTTTAAGGCAATACTGGAGTTTGAACTATGGGCCTCATGCTTGCTAGGCAGGTGCTGTACACTTGAGCCACTTTGCCAGCTTTTTTTTTTTTCTTAATAATACATTGACAGTTTTGAAAAAACACTTTTGGCCTGCAGGCCATATGAAAGCAGACATGGTTTGGCAGCCTTGGTCCAAACAGTATACACAAACACATGCATGTACCTTTATAAGGCCTTGACAGGGACTGTCACTTGCTCCCTGAAGCTAACGCACGCTTCCTCCAACAGAATACAAGTGTCTGTTTCCCTGAGCCCTGTGGAGTACTAATGTCAGATGACCTCACGTTTCAGTTTATAGTTTAGATTATCGGTGAGATCCATTATTCTTTCACTATTGTTAACCACACGTGTCCTCATTAAGAAAGTTCCCGAGTTCATCTCTTTTTCCCTTTTTTTTCCCCTGTACTCATCTCTTTTGATAAGCTTTATATTTGCATATATTTTGAATATTTACAAATCTGTATGTTTACAAATACTCGAGAAAGAAGCATCTGGGTTGTATTTAATTGAGTTGTCTGGTAATTTTGAGTCAGAATTAATTCAGTACCAACCATGCAAGAAATCACATGCTTTAATTAAAAAACAAAACAAAAAAAAAACCAACCACCAAAAAACCTCACTAAGTAGCTATTTGCAAAATTAATATACACAAAAAAAGTCATTTCTTCTCTGTCAAGAGTAACAGGGAAGGGGCTGGTGGCGTGCCTCAAGTGGTAGAGTGCTTGCCTAGCAAGCATGAAGCCCTGAGTTCAAACTTCAATGCTGCTAAAAAATAAAAATAATAAAATAAAATAAAGACTAATAGTTTGAAAGACATTGAGGAGAAAAGATTCTTTTTATATATCAACCAAAATTACAGACTAAGTCTGGATATCTTAAACATTTGGCAGGGGAAGGAGCTTAGTGGACATTCTAATAAAAGTTTTATAGGTTCTATATAAAGCAAACGTGAAATTCCACAGAAAGACTCAGAGAACATTTGCGAAAGCATCAACCCACACCCAGTTCCTAGAATGTGAGAGTGCCACTTCTTCCCTAATCAGTGAGTAGACGAATAAAGGTAATGAGCTCACAGTTATGGTTTCCTCAGGATTGGGTGATGTGTCAAAGGACAGCTTGAAATATCCTGAGAGGACCTTCCACTCCAACTTGGGGAAAAATGTTTTGAAGCTACCATAATTAGAACAGTTTGATTCAGGCAAAGGGGTCACCAAGTTAATAGACTAGGACAGAATCCAGAGACAGATTCTAATGATGGGGTGGAGTTTCGGAAAACAGATGCTTCCTATCAAGGGAGAGATTTTTCTGTAGCTAGTAAAATGGAACAGTCAGCTTTTGGTTTTTCCATTTTTTTTGATGTAGCACAGGCTGGCCTTAAACTCAAAATCCTCCTGCCTTGGCCTCCTGAGTACCAGGATTACAGGTGTGCCCTACCACTCTGGGCTGATTAACTTTTTTGAAGGAAAAAAAGATGGGCCCCCACCTTCCTCCTCACAGCAAGATAAATTTTTCAGATACATCAATGATTTAAGCTTAAAAAATATCTTTCTAAGCAATTTTGCAAAACGTGGCAGTGATAAAGTAAAGTACTAATTAAGTATATACCAATTAAAACTTCTGTAAAGCAACAAGTATGACAAACAAAGACACGAGGCAAGCCACAGTTGCTTAATAAAAACAATGGACTGACATCTAATTTAATTTAATTCACTCAGGTTTTTATCAAGGACATACGACCCAAGAGAAAAAGGGGCAAAGGACAGGTTTTCCAAGAAAAAGAGTTCAGATGAGCAGTACAGATATCTGAACTCACTCAATTATTTAAAGAAAAAAAAGAAGGAAAAAGTCAAAACTAGGTGGTCACAGTTTTCACTTGCCAGACTGGCAGGCATTTTTAACATTTGGTAATAAATGCCTTCGTGCACTGTTGGCCCAGCCTGTTGGAGCACAGCTTGGAAGAGTCAGTTCAAATGAAGAATTCACGTGCCTTGGTACTTAGGAGGTGGGGGTGGGAGGGTGGCAAGTTCAAGACTAGCCTGGGCTACCTAGCAAGACCCTGCCTGAAACAAGTGAACAAACAAATGTAATAGTAATGCTAACTTCTAGATGTCATGAAATTAGTTGTCGGGGCTTCTTTTGTATTTTATTTTATTGTTTTGAGGCTCTGGGGTTCAAGCCAAGAGCCTTGCTCATGCTAGGCAACGTCTCTACCACTGAGCTACATCCCTGTGCTTTAATTGAAAGATAAAATATTTGAGAATCATATCACTTAACATGTCCAATAAAACATTTGTTTATTTAAAAAACAAAACAAAACAAAAGAGGTACCAGGGAAAAACATTTCTTTTCCTTACAGAAAAATGTCTTAGAATTTCTGGCTCCTCTGAAGCCAGTGGCCATTCGGATAGTGAGAAACGCGCACGGGAACAAAACAGGTGAGGTCTCAGAAGTTCCCAGGGGGTCAGCGGGGCAGAAGTACAGGTGTGAAGTGGAGAGGTCCTAAGGGCACCATTTCTTTTTTTCTATTTGTGGCCCTCAGTTGGGTGAATGTGCTTAAACTGTCATCTGCCTGAGGCAGTTTGGTTTACAGAGATGGACTTTTCACCTGTTTCTCCTCTCCCCCTTTTCACAGCAGCCTTTGTTCATACCAGCAGGCTCACCTGGTTGATTCAGGTAGATGCCCACGAGTCCTGGGTTTTCTGGGCCAAGTTAATGGGAAGCTCTGCCGACAGGTGGACTGGTCTACCTTTCTGAACATGTGTGGTGTCATGCTGGGCCACATCCCTCCAGAGTTCCACTCTGGACAGCCAGCCTTCCCTGGCCTTGGACCCTGTGTCTGGCCACCCTGAGGTGGGGAGAATGACCCTAAGGAAGAATTAGAGCTGGGAAAGTGGGCACCAGCCCTGCCTGCTTACTGTCCACACCGGGATGCTGCAAGAGAGAGCGGCAGAATAACCACATCTCATGCTGCATTTTTTCTCCAGCTCCCCTGTTGGCCTGCTTAGCAGGCTGATGTATCCACCAACCTCCCCTTTCTCCTCGCAGGCTCCTAGAGCACTGTGGAAAGAGAGGAACAGTCCCTGCCCAGGTTCCAGTCCCTGCTGGGTCACAGAGGATCCCTATGGCCTAAGACAAGGGACTTGGCCTCGCTGTCTTTATCTGTGCAGTGGGCCAACCTGAGTCAACTAGTGTAAGGAGAGCACAAGTTACGTTATAATGGCGCTGATCCTCCATTACCCACTTCGTGAGAGCTATTGTTACGTCAGTCGTATCTATGGTGGTGGTGCCCCTGGTTCGTGGCACTGCTGAGATCAGTCAGGAACAGGTCTGAGTTGTCAGGACTGAGAACCAGGTTGGAGGGCTGGAGCTAGAGAGCCAGCATCAAGCATGATGCTTTTGAGGGCAGCAGACGTCCCTGTACGAGAGCTGGGGAGGAGGCAGGGCTGGGGCTTTGGAAAGTACAGGCATAGGCTTCCTGGTCTTCTGATTGGCACAGGATGGCTTGAAGCAGGGCCAAGGAGGCCTGTGGAGGCTTTTGTGTTCTCAAGCAGGTTGGGCTGGGCCTGGCTTAGAGGAGTGGATGGGGTAGGTGAGATACATGCTGTGGGAATGGAGGAGATGGAGGAGTCACAGGATGGGAACAGCCTTGTCCCAAAGGTGGAAAACCCAGAGACTTTGGAGCAAGTTCTTCCAAGTGTCTTGGACGTGTCATATAACTGCTATAGAAAAGCGGGAACTTGGCCCTGTTCTGCTGCCTCTCAGGGTTGGGGCCTGATGAGGTCAAGGACACAGAGGCTTCTACTCAAGAGAGACACCTCATCCCCCACCAGCAGCCTGTTTCTGGGCAAGAACTGCAGGGGTAGTGGCCATGGCCATGCCGAGCCAGGTCCTGGCACTGCTATGCCAGCCACTTCTCTAGACGGTGTGCTCAGGGGTGGGATGAGGCTGGGGCAGAGGCCCTGTGTTTCTGACACCTGGAATCAAGCGTCTTCACCCACAGCACATAGTCTAAATGCTCCCTCTTAGGTTGACTTGGCTGAGAGGGGCCCGGCAAAGACAGATTCCCCACTTCACGGTGCAGATATCCCCCAGGACTCCCACAAGGGTCTGCAGAGCCTGCAGAGCTTACCCCTGTCACCTTCCTCTCTCAGGATACATCTTTGTGGATTTCAGCAGTGAAGAGGAAGTGAAGAAAGCGCTGAAGTGCAACCGGGAGTACATGGGTGGGTAGCACGGGTCAGGAGCCATCTGCAGGGTTCCGGGTCGCGTGTTCTTTCCTCTGTGGACCTCACACGTGGGTGTGAAGTGTCTCCTCTCTCCTCTGCAAGAGCCTGCTGGAGGCTCTGAGATGCAGTGGTGAGTGAAGGGACCACAGTTCCTGCCCCCTGCAGCTTGGAGACTATAAACATGGGGGAGAGGCAGTCATGGAACAGAACATACGTGCAGGTAACGTGTGAAGGGCGGAACAGGCGGGGTCCATGAAGGGGCTGGGTTGGGGGAGGCACATCTCTAATAGAACTGTGTCTGCCTGGGCTACGCTGAGAGGAGACATGGGACAAAACCTGGCGTTAAAAGACTATTGCTCTGGCTGAGGGGCAGTGTGTTGGATGCAAGTGTGCAACCCCTGAGATGGGGTTGCATCTCAGATCCTGCCATCGGCCTCCACTAGACATGAGCTGTGCTAGGAGTCCAGGTAGTGAGTCAGGAGAGGCATTGATTGAGCATCTTGGAGCTCATGTGCAGGACGGGTGACATTGAAGCGTAATTGGCACGTGGGTGAGGCACATGCCAGTTTACCAGCAGGGTTGTCCAGGGCTGGGTTGTCACATAGTCCATACAGCCAGCAGCACCAGAGAATAGACCCCAGGACTTGGGCTTTGTGACCCTGTTGTCTGAATCCAGGCAGGCCCACAGGATTGAAGTGGATTGACAAGGTGAGCAAGGTTAGCAGAGGTTAGCGCTGTCATTACCTGCCTGGGCCACAGCATCACTTGGGATCGCCAGCCAGGAGGCTCTGATTTCTTATGCAGGTGGCCGCTATATCGAGGTGTTCAGGGAGAAGCATGTCCCTGTGGCCAAGGGGCCTCTGAAGAACAGCACCAGACCCTGGCAAGGTCGGACGCTCAGGGAGGACGAGGAGGAGGAGGACCTGGCTGACTCTGGGAGACTCTTTGTGCGCAACCTGCCCTACACCAGCTCCGAGGAGGACCTGGAGAAGCTCTTCTCCACCTACGGTAGGTGTCACCTGACTCAGTCCTGGCTTGAGTCCTGTCTGCTTTTGACCTTGGACCGATGGCTCCAGCTGTCATGTCTGTAAAATGGAGCTACGGGTCCTGACTAGTGTCAGCGTGTCTGTGTACCATACTCTTCACTTGCTCTCTGGATTGCAGAGCTGAAGGCTATTCCTTGAGATCAGTTTCTCGCACTCAGAGTTTGGAGGTCAGTAACCGTATAGACCTGAGCACGCCCACCTGTGCTGACACGCACTGGCATGGAATGCTTTCTGTCCAAACCGAGCATCTGAGGAGAGATGGCAGGGAGGGGCATTTCTGCTGCTGTGATTTCTCAGGCTGAGCCTTCAAGGCCTGTGGTGCAACCTGGTCACACAGGGCTGGGTTTGGTGTTTGTAGGACTGTGGATGTTACAGGAAAGTGCAGTAGGCCTACAATGGAGGGGAGAGGGAGGGGGGTGCAAGGTTGGGACAATGAAGACATCCCAGCAGGGGCTGGGATGTCTTTTCAGAGGCCAGCCTAGTTTATGGGAGATCAGAGAGGCTGGGAGAGCACCTGGCGTGGGACAGGAAAGGCAAGGAGACCCGGAGCGGGACCTGCCCAGAGGCAGGGTTGTATAACCCCAAGCCCCTGTCCATTGCTGTCCTGCTCATTGGATTCTTCTGCTCTGGCTGCTGCCCTGGCTTATACCGTAGGGCTGGGCTGACAGGAGGGGCTTTGTCTACAGATAGCAGGTGTCCATTTGGGAAGACAGACCCACGGGGAGAATGTGGTGACATCCTCGTGTTCAGCTTTAGAAATAGTACAGAAACCATGGGTTTTGAAGGTGACAATATGGCAAACACTTTCATGGCTTTGACTGTAGGAGGCGCCATATTAGCACAGTTTCATGGCAAGACTGCAGTCAGTGAGGCTGAATGACTTGCCCAAGGCAGGCTACACGTGCAGGTGGTAGAGACAGGGTGCAGTCCGCTCTTGAGGTTAGAGGCAGGGATTGCGAAATGATGTCTTTGACCTTGAGATTAGTTTCACAGCTGGCACTCTCCATATTCTTGGGCTGGGTGGTCTGGACTGACCCAGAGCGAATATTTGCTGTGCTCATGAGTCACACCCATCATCTGACCAGTGCCTGGCACTTTTGTCACCCAGCACTCAGGCCTAGCCCGACTCACAGCCAACTGACGCTTTTGTGTTCAGGTCCCCTATCAGAGCTTCACTACCCCATCGACAGCCTGACCAAGAAACCCAAGGGCTTTGCCTTCATCACCTTCATGTTCCCTGAGCACGCTGTGAAAGCCTATGCAGAGGTGGATGGGCAGGTGTTCCAGGTGAGATGGCTCGAGGGCTGGATGGGTAGCTGCTGGGCTCAGGTGAACAGAAGAGAGAGAGAGAGTGTATGTGTGTGTGTATGCATGTGTGTCTGCACATTGGACCTAAGGACTCAACAGTGGTTGTCAGGCTGTCACCTCGCATGTGCCTCTAGAAGGTAAGATGCTTCACGAAGGAAGGGGTCCACTCTGTCCCCTTCATTGATTGTGGCACCCAGAATGTACCTGGCATACAGTAAGTACTCACAAAGTACTTGTTGAATGAGTGATGTGCCTTCACCTCCTTGGCAAGGAGGGCATCAACCGTGGCGTATTGAAGTGGCCACATGAGTGTAAGAATCTCTCTCCCAGTGTCACCAAGCAGTGTGCTTAGCACATCTCCTCCAGCACCCCCCCAACACACCTTTTCTTCATTCATTCGTTCATGGATTGTGGAGCTCCTGTCAACCAGGCCAGACCTGGTTCCCCATCTTATGAAGGTCACATCCTTACTGCCTGTGGGGACAGGATGGTGCCAGCTTGCCGGGTAGGGCTGTAGGTGCTGATTATAGTGATGATGTTTCCTTTGCACAGCAGTGTCACCTGGCCCCACCACAGTGTCTGGTACCAGTGTCAGGTGAATTGAGTGACCACATCCCTGTCCTCAGATCAGGGATGCTGCACTGAGGCGGCATACCCGTGACAGAGTTGATGTTCTGAAGAGCAGGGCTTGTGTTCACTCACCTCCTTGGTCTCCTCCAGGGCAGGATGCTCCATGTGTTACCTTCTACCATCAAGAAGGAAGCCAGTGAGGATCCCGATGCTCCAGGGTCATCTTACAGAAAGAAGAAGGAGTTTAAAGACAAAGCCAACAGCTCCAGGTCCTGTCCCTCTTCCAGCTTCTGCTCTCACCATATCCCTTGGAAGCTGCCTGGCTTCTGTCACCCTTCCTGATGGGGTTCAGTGCATGACCTCCAGAACATTGTTCTGTTTTACTCCCTTGCACAGTGGGGAGAGCAGTAGTCATGTGCCACTGTGCAGTGTAGTAAGGACTGCACAGGTGACTGTGCAAAGGGCAGGGTCCCTGGCCCAGAGGAAGTGCGTGACAGGTGCTCGAGATTGTTGATGTCATTGTCAGTCTTGTCTTAAGCCCTGTCACTTAGCTCATGGCAGGTCAGGTGGAGGGAGGGGCTCAGGCAGTAGGTTCAGGAGCCCACTCCTTAGCGGTTTTACATCTGAGAAAGAGCTTCCCATGCAGCCATGTGTGACCCCTGTTCACCTCTGCCTTCAGCTCTCACAACTGGAACACGCTGTTCATGGGGCCGAATGCTGTGGCTGACGCCATTGCACAGAAGTACAATGCTACTAAGAGCCAAGTGTTTGATCACGTGAGTGGGTGTGTGTGTGCTTGGTGTATGCTGTGACCAATAGCTTCTTCTCTGATGCACATTACAGAATTGAACTTCTGCTGAGTTAGTGTGGTTTTCAGCCAGTCAGCAAAGGACATCATTGATTTTGCCCATTCACTTCTCCCTGACCTCTTCAAGGTCAGCACTGTCTCTTAGAAATACAGTGCAAGTCACCACTTGCATTAGTATTAGGTATTAGTGACTATGATTTTCTAAAGCAAAACAAAACAGGCAAAGTTAATTTTAATACTATACACATATATACATAACTCAGCATATCCAAAATACTGTCATTGAACATATGCACAGTATATGTTCATTTTTTCTTACTAAATTCATTTTTTCTTTTCATTTTTTCTTACTAAATTCAGTGTGCATTTCACACTTAGCATAGTTTTGACTTAAATGTGCCACATCTCAGGTGCCCTGTTGCTCTGGGTGGCTTGTGGCCACCGTGCAGAACAATGTAGGCTAACCTGAGTTAGGAGGGAGGCTGCAGGTACTTAGGTGCCATGAGTATCCTCTGGGTACCAGAAACTCAGCCATGCCCAGAGCAGAGGATCCTGCCTTCTAGTGAAGAAAGACACTCACAGGTGCACAGAGGTGCAACGTGGTGGCCCTGGACCGAGGAACAGTGAAGTGTAGAGGATAGAGTGTGACAGCAAGGGTGAGCTGGCCAGCAGGGTGACATCTCAGCTGCAGCTGCTTGGAGCGCAGGGTATGAGATGGGAGTCATCTCAGGTTGAGGTCGGCGATCTTGTTGGGTAAGAGGAGCTAGAAAGTTGGGGGGACAGGAGGAAAGGACACTGGGGCCATGAAGGAAGGTGAAGTGGAGGAGGGGACTGTGAGGTCCTGGACTGACTGAGAGACCCACTAGAGCCACAGGAGTGTTGCCTCAGTGTGGGTAGGTGAGGGCCATCAACCAAATCTCTTTGCTTCTGAGTCACCTCAACTGCTAGTAGATAGGACGGTGCTGTCAGCCACCTGACAGGCCACCTGGCCTCATCCTTTTCTCCCTCCCACAGGAGACCAAGGGCAGTGTGGCTGTGCGTGTGGCCCTGGGGGAGACCCAGCTGGTTCAAGAAGTCCGACGCTTTCTCATTGACAACGGAGTCAGCCTAGACTCATTCAGCCAGGTGGGTTCTCACCTGGAGTGGGCGGTGCCTCCCTGCTCCATCTTCATGGCTGCAGAACTGAGAACAGGTTTTCCTGGGAAGCTGGGAGGACATGGGTGAGTCCTGTGGGTGACTGGAACTGTATGTGGAAGAAACCTGCAGGGGTGGCCCCTCAGAATTGTCCTCCCTGAGGGATGGGGTGCATTACAGGTAGCTTTTAGGCTATGAACTTGATACTTCCTCCACCTGTGGTGGCAGGTGGTCTGCACTGTCAGGAAGGAGGCTAGGCACTTAGACATGGCTTCGTTGTTGGAAGCCTCTGGAGTGCCTGGAAGGTCCAGCCAGGACCAGGGTCGGCGCTGTTGGAATCTTCCTTGCTTAGAAGAGGCTGTGGGACCTATGGGGTGTGGCTCTGGAGCCCTGGGCCTTAACCACTCTGTAGAGCTGTCCTGCCATGGTGAAGGTGGGCAGCATGCCAGAAAGAACAGGGCCTCCTGAGCCCAGCTGCTGAGGTGTCACCACGGGTCAGTGGTAGTATTGGTCTGAGGCCCCTCTCCTATAGTTCCATGTGTGTTCATTCCTTCCTCACTGCCACCCCCAAGGCCGCAGCAGAGCGAAGCAAGACCGTGATTCTGGCCAAGAACCTCCCAGCAGGCACCCCAGCAGCCGAGCTGCAGGAGACCTTCGGTCGCTTTGGCAGCCTCGGCCGCGTGCTGCTGCCCGAGGGTGGTGTCACCGCCATAGTGGAGTTCCTGGAGCCCTTGGAGGCACGCAAGGCTTTCAGACATCTGGCCTATTCCAAGGTAGGGCTGTGTGAGAGCGGACGTGCAGACAGCCTGGGTGTGGGGCCCGCACGAGGGAGCTCTGCTAATCCCCGCTCTGCTGTGATTCTGCATGTTATTCCTCCAGAACGCCCTCCTGGGCTGTCTTTCCCTGTGTTAACTTGACTCATTCTTGCTGTTCTCGCTACCTGAACCTACCATGAGCTGAAAGCAGTTCTGTATGTGGGGCTGTTTGGTTTTTGTTGTTTTGTTTTTAAAACAAACCAGGTATGGTGGTATCGGTCTGTAATCCCAGCTATGTGGGAGGCATAGGTAAGAGAATCATTGTTCGAGACAGGCTCAGGCAAAAAATGGGAGACCCTATTTAAAAAAATAAAACGAAAAGAGCTGGAGGTGTGGCTCATGCAGTAGAGGACCTACCTAGCAAGCTTGAGGACCTGAGCTCAAAACCCAGTACTAACAAAAATATAGCAGCAGTGTATTGGTTTCCTGGGGCTGTTGTAACAAGCGACCATCAACTTGGTGGCTTAAACCAACATTTATTTGGTCATATTACTGGCATCTAGAAGTCCCAAACCAAGGTGTCAACAGGCCTCGCCCCTCTTATGGCTCTGGGGCAGTCTGTCCTTTGCTGTTTCTGCTGCTGGTGGTTCCATGCGGCCCTGGGCTCGTGCCTTCCAGCCTTCTGGCCCTGCCCTCTGCTCCGTCTCAAGTCTCCCTCCCATGTTTCTCTTACAAGGACGCTTAGTGGACTGTGCCCACCACCATGAGTTCTTGATCTCTTCAGGATCTCTCACTTAATGACTTTTGCAAGTAAGGTCACAGTCATAGCTTCTAGAGGTCAAGATTGCATCACCTTTCAAACCACCACAGGTTGTTTCTGTTTGTCAGCAACTCTTCTGCTTCACAGACCCTGGTCCCCTCCCTGATCCCCAGAGGCAGGTGGGGAAATGAGTTAAACGAGTTCCCACCCTGTGCTACTCCAGCCTCATGGCATGTCCCCAGCCTGGGTCCCTGTGGCTACCAGGCTCTCAGGAGTCGATCTGTGCCTGGTCCACATGTGCAGTTACCTGGGTAGGACCCCGTGACAGATGCAAGTACCCCTGAAATGCAGACACCCCTCCCTTCTGCTGCTTTGGGAAGACATGCTGCTCACCAGAAAGCTCTGGCACAGTGGGGGCAGCAGTCAAGGGCACCGACTGGGCGTGGCCTCTATTTTGTTTTTTGGGGAGGTGTTTTTTTTTTTATTTTTATTTTTTGCAGTACTAGGGCTTTAACTCAGGGCCTTCACCTTGAGCCACTCCACCAGCCCTATTTTTGTAAGGGGTTTTTTGAGATAGGGTCTCGTGAACTATTTGCCTGGGTTGGCTTCAAACCACAATTATCCTAATCTCTGCCTCCTGAGTAGCTAAGATTACAGGTGTGAGCCACCGGCACCCAGCTCCTTTTTGTTTTTGACAGTGTCTGTTTCACTAACTCCTCCATCAACACTTGGTCTCCTATGTCCTCTGTGTTCAGACTGAGGGCAGCAACAGAGGCTCAGGCCTCTCCCTTGCAGCCAGAGATGCACCCGGCTGTGTCCAGGTATCCGGCAGCATGTAGACTTCTGGGCCGGGTTCTTTTGGCTCTGTCAGCTCTGCTTCTCTGGTCCTCATCTGTGAGTGGGGCTGAGTCCCTCCCCAGCAGGGCCCTGTGATGAGGCCCCATGGGTCACCACCCCTGTTTCCACAGTTCCACCATGTCCCCCTGTATCTGGAGTGGGCTCCAGTTGGCGTTTTCTCCAGCACAGCCCCTCAGAAGAAGGAACCCCAAGACACACCAGCAGAAGCTGCAGAAGGAGACAAGGGGAGCAAGAAACTGGTAAGGTACTGAGTGTGCAGTCAGGCCACCCTGAAAACCAGCAGCTGTCAGAGTCTTGGATTGCAGAGGCAGATACAGCATTCTTAAACGTAGTGCATCAGAATTGGGCACAGCCTTTGGTAGGCAGCTTTTTAAGCTGTCTGTTAGAGGTTGGGGAGAAGGAAACCTAGACTCTATTAATAGGGACACAGAACAGAGCAAGTGGAACCCTTATTTCGTAGGTGACCAGGGACAGGTGGAGGAGAAGGTTATTCTCACATCCTTGGGGTGCCACAGTGCCCCCTGGTGTCCAGTGACTGCAGAGGCCGGAAAGGAAAGGGCAGCAGTGGATCTTGGGGCCAGACAGGGTGTCCCCAGGCCCCTAGCTCACATCTCCACTTAGGGTGAGGCATCCTCACTGGCATTTGATTCAGGGTAGTTCGTCCTCATTGGGACTGGTGCAAACCGCAGGGCATGTCACACCCCTGGACCTCGATCATGGAATGCCAGGAATGCCTCTGGCACTGAGACCCTGAAGCACTCCCACAGGTCTCAGACGCTCCCTAGGGGGCGGTGCAACCTCCCAGGAGAACTTCTGAGCGGGACCGTGGCCTCCTGTTCAGTTTGGAGTAGGAAGGCTTTTGTGGATGTTAGGATTTTACCCATCAGTCTGCGCCTGGTGGTGCAGGCCTGAAACCCAGCGCTCAGGAGACTGCAGCAGGAGGATTGGGAGTTTGAGGCCAGCTTGGGCTACATAATGACAAGACCCAGCCTCAAAATAAAAAAAAAAAAATAGAGCATCAGTAACAGTGCTCCTGATAAGCCCACATAATAGGGTTAGCCAATTGGTTTATTCAAGATTTAAAAAAGTCCTGTGACTACCATCTCCATTGTTCTTCTATATTTAAAAAAAAATGCAGCAAGAAAAGGAGAGTGTAGAAAAGCAAAATTGTCAGATATATAAGATTTAAATTCTCACTTAAATCAGGTTGCCATCACCAAACATAATCCCTTCCACCCAAGCCGCCTGCATTTCTCCTTCCATTGTTCCATTTTGGGTCCTCAGGACTAGCCGAGTTGGTACCAGCCATCAGGGAACCACTGATCTGGAAGCTTTGTTCAAGTCAGGATGGAACATTCTTCAGTCTCTTTCCTCCGTGATCCCAAAGTGCCCCTAGGTGTGGAGCTGGCGGTGGTTGGTATAGACCTTCCACAGGCCCCTCCCTGGCTCTTTCCAGAGTTAGCACTGTCCACTTTGGATTCGGATTCCCTTCAGACCTACTGTGCTCCCATCAAAAGAATTCTTGCCACATGGTCCCAGTTTGTTCGTAACTAGCCATCACCCAGAACCACCAGCTGCCTTGGTTTTTGATATGGTTACTACACTTGAACCTGGTGATGATTTTAGCCCGCAGTGAGTCATCCTTTCAAGCACAAAGACTGGCCATGTTTGGGGGCCCTGAAGACAAACCCTGAGAAGCCTCTTCCTGCCATGGGCAGCAGTGGGGTCTGGCCGTGAGGTACTGTGCCTCCCGAGGTGGCTGCTCACTTACCAGGTCCTCGCGCTTCTCCCTCTGCAGTGCTCTGTTCTGCTATGACACTGGTCACCATTTGTATTTATTCTGTTATTTCACTTGTTTCCTATCCATCTTGTCCAGACTTCGAACCCTGAAGGCAGGGACCAGGCCATCTCCCTCACTGCTGGGTGCCCCAGCACCCATGCGGTCCCAGCCACAGGAGCGTCACAAAGGTGTAGAGCAAGTGAGCAAATGTAAGGAGAATGTATCTGTTCTTTGGAAGGGCTGGCCGGGTCCCACTCCTCATCTGTGTCTTGAGCCCATGGCACACGTGAAGTTTGAAGGTTTACTTCAGGTTGCTAAGCCTCAGAATAGAAGTGTGACAGCAGCATTGTCCGTCATGGGAAGAGCAGCAGCTTCTAGTTGTCCCTTTTCCTTGGGCTTTGTTTCAAATGCTTCTTACTTCCTGGAGTGGTGTTTTGAATGAATTTGTTTGACTCGGTGTCTAGTGCACAAGTCACCCCTCCTCTGCATTGCTGACCATAGCACCTAGGAGTGTGCCCACCTGGCAGTTGTCAGGAAGACATATATGTGACCTTGTGGGCAGAGCAGCACTTGCTCTGCAGCATCCCTTCCTACAGGTGCCGAGCGCCTTGTTTGTGTCCTCATCCTTGAGGCTCAGCACTCCTGGGGAGCGACATCCAGTACATAGGCGCCCTCGTCCTCTCCTCACTGTAACTGGTTGAACACCTACCTTCCCTCAGTTTGTGTCTGTGAAATGGGTGCTGACCACAGGAACTGCTGAGGCCTTTGCCAGGATGGATGGAGATGCATGTACAGGTCACTGTCACTTCCACACAGGTGGGTATCCAGCAGTGTCAGTCCAAGTGCACATGACACATACCTGCCAAGAGCTGTGTGCCAGCCCCCCAAGCAGGACTTATCCACATGGACATAACATAGACCCTCTTCTTCTGAAGCTCCCAGGCTGTTGGGGGTAGGGGTGTCAACCCAGATGTCACAGGTGGCATTAGAGGTGGCCCTAGGTACAGACATCCTCCAGAGCACAATGGGAGGTTGCCCTGTGTCAGCTGCCTGGAGTCTGGGGTCTGTACTCCCTACCCTGTCCTTGCTTCAGTGTTGACAGCCCCTCTGGGGACTGCTTTCCGGGAGCCCACTGACTGTGACTCGCACAAAGGAGGCATCAGACCTGGGAGAAGGGCCCAACTGTCCTTCTGGATTTGGACCAGGAAGTTGTGCATCAGCATCAGCAGTGATTTTCCAGTGTTGGTTCGAGGGTCTCCTTTTGCCCTGAGCTATCCCTGCTCTCCTGCTCCTCTCCCTGGTCCTTTTGCACATTGTTCTCAGGTGCCCCCAGGTCTCTGGCTCCCTGTGGCCAGGAGACTAAGTCCTGGATTTCGAGACTCTGCAGGAAGTGGGAGGGAGTGGTGGAAGCTCCCAGCCCTGCCTCGTTTCTGCAATGCTCTCTTGTTCTCTGGGCCAATCTCCAGGGAGGGGACAACGAGTTTTATCTCCTCACAACCAAGACCCTCACCTCGAGATAAAGGGCTCCAAGTGGGGGCAAGTCCTGGCAAGCTGCTTGCCACTGATAACGGGCTGTTCTGTGGGCCTCGGCGCAGAGCCTGGGGAGGGGAGAGCGCAGTAAATACTGCAAGGCCTGATTATGAGGACGCCTCATGCGGCCGTGCGTGACTGGATTTGATTGTGCGAACTACAGGTGGGGTAGTTCGCTCCCTTGGTCCCTCCAGCACACCTCGCTTCAAATCCTGCCCCAGCCCAGCCCTGCTGCCTTTGTTTCTTCCTTCTGGTGATTTTGCTGGCAAACATCTTCACTTTCTCATCTTCCTTTTGTCTCCACTTGGGGCCAGAAGCAGAGTACTTTAAAGAAAGACCCTTGGCTCCATCGCCTTGGTGTTTGTCTGCCTTGCTCCTCTCTGGACTCAGGCATAGGTCACAGCAGGTCCTGGAGACTTCGGAAGCACAGGTGGCTGGCAGGGACACTGCCCCCTGGACTTGGAGGTGTGGCACTGGCTGGTCCTCTTGGAACCTGTAGCAAGCTGCCATCCCTGCAAAGAGAGGGTCATGGAGGCCAGGCCCCCCTGCAGCTATACTGCCAACCTTTCCTCTGGCTTGCTCGTCAGGGCCTGGCTAGACTATGTACAACAGGGATGACACAGAGTAACGAAATGGCCATTTCTCAGGAGCTTACAACAGCCCAGGTGTGTTCCATGGCCTCTGTGCATTAGTGTTTGTGAGCATCCTGCAAGCAGGTACTGTTATTGTCCCTTTTTATAGGTGGCAGGAAGCACCTCTGACTTGTGCAGGGTCACACGTGGAGAGAGCCACTGTGTGACCCAAAGCCATCAATCCCAAGGTCTGATGTTGTCTTGCCTATGACATCACAGTTCCTCGGGGGCTCACTAAGCTCCTGAACTCCTGGTACTTTGCAGGCTCAGCCTGAGTGTGTGACGGATTCATTTTGCACAAATGTTTTTGGGGTGTCTGTTCTGTGTCTGGCGTGGGAGTGGAGTGCTCACTGAGTCAGACTGGGGCCTATCCTTTGCAAGCAAGCTCCCTTAATTGTTGGGGACACAGACTCACATGAACCAGTAGATAAGCTGATTTTCAGAATGAAGTCAGAGTTCTGTGAAGAGGAAACCAGAGAACGTGATGGTGAGTGGCTGTGTAGGGTAGAGGCCTCTTGACTAAAGTAGACAGGAAGAGGTCTGCAGGGAGGACATTTGGGCTGAGGCCCAATGAGAAGAAGCCACGCCTAGGAGCACAGACAGTGCACACTGTGTAGAGGCAGCAAGTGCAAAGGCCATTGGTGATCAGTGGAGAGGACCATGCAGATAGTGCACAAGAGGACAGGAAAGAAGACCCAGGGGTAAGGTGGGAGAAGCTGGCAGGCCAAGGGCAGGAGCCAAGGGGAGACTCATCCAGATGAGTGGTGTTAATATCCAGGCCTATGGTTGAAATATGGACATTACCATGTCAATTCAACCCATCCCAGTGCACACATGATCACACGTGTGTTTTCATTAAACACTACATTACAGAAAAGGATGCTGGGACATGGTTCAGTTTCCGGTCCAGAGCTATGCAGTTATTAAATGGCAGAGCCAGGGCCAATCCAGCCTACTCTCATTTCTCCCACCTGTGTGGGTTTCATGGCTATGTGCCACCTCCTGGCTGCAGTCTGTGGGGCTCCCCCTCATTCCCACTCCCCTTCTCCGGCAGATCTATAAAGTCCAGGAAGGCTCTGTCTGTGACCTCTCAGGATTCCCTGTGGACACCCCCAGAGTCAGTGCGTCTGTGCCGCTGGAGGAGGGCCAGGCTGCTCTGAAGTGTCTTTCACTTCCCAGCGCCGGGGGCAGTGTTGTCGGCTGACTCTGGACGTTGGACAAGCCAGTGGAGCCCCAGGCCAGACGAGCCATACACCCCAGGGAGGAGGTGCTAACCATTCTCGAAGGCCTCTCTCCTTCCAGGGCTGGGGCTGGAGCTGCTGAACTGCCAGGAAAGGGTCCCATCCATTTCTGGGGTCCTGACCCCAGCCTTAAGCTCAGTTTAGCTCAGCTCTGTTACAACCCAGACATCATCTCCCTGTGCAGGTGCTTGTGCCGTCTAACACGCTTTGTGAAGCAAAGCGGCCACTGTTCCTGGCCACACAGGACGGAGTCCTCCAGCCATGCTGAGGGCCACTGGGCCCTCAGGTCCCTGTGAGGTGTCCAGCCTCTGGACTGCTGCCCTGGGGTGGCTGGGTTCCAGGTCTAGGGACAGGAAGAGGGAAGGGTCATTTGTCTTTGCCAATGGTGTGAACACAGGGAGTGGGGACCGGGACCCATAAGCTGGTGGGGTTTTTGACGGCCAAGACTGCATGCTCTGAGTTAAGCTGCCAAAGTTAAAAACTGAGTTTTCCCATAAGAAACTGGATTGTCAGCTTCTGTGGTACCACCTGAACTTGTGGCCACATTGAGCTGATCTTGCTGAATGGCAACTGTTGACTGGTACCAAGAAGAGACTGACCCTGAATTTCTGGGCCACACCATCCCCGCCATTGTCTTCTCTGAAAACTCCTTTTCAGCCACCCCGGAGGCTCTCAGCAACCTGAAGGTGCCTGAGTTAGAGGCCAGGTGCAGCTGCATCCAGAATGTTCCTTAAGGCCTGCTTTTTATGGTGTGGCTACTATGGTTACACAGGACAATGGGTACCCTAGGCATCCAGCAGAGGTTAGTGCATGTTGAAAGACATGGGTCCACCTTTCCTATATCCTTTCGCCTCAGATGTGGAAAGACGAAGGAGAGAGGTGGGGTGGGGCTATCATTCCTGGCAGGGGATGTGGTTATGAATGCAATCAAAGTCCTCATTCAGAACCTAGAGCCCAAGTCACTGCACAGCTTTGCTCCCCTGTCATCATCAGCATTGCTTTTGTCCTCATTTTGCTTTGAAAGTTGGATTTTGAGTCCAGATGGCCACACCATGGAGTCTGGCTGGGTAACTAGTTAATGTCTAGATGGGTGAGGAGTCATTGTATATGTCTGCCTTTTGTCCTGGGGCTGAGTCTGGGCTCAGCTCAGAGCTCAAGGGGTGAGAGCTGCATGTCCCACTGATGTTGAAGAGGTGACATTATCGCTGTCACTGTTCCCTTTAGGCTTTAAAGGATTGTTTCATGACACAGCCATTGAAGCTGAATTAGGACTTGAAAGGTTTAGGCTGGTGGAAAGGGCAGGAGAGACAGCTGCGTAGGGTGCTCAGCATGGGGTGATAGGACCACCAGTTTGAAGTGTTTGAGGGAAGGTGTGGGGGAGAAGCTGGTTATCCTTGTCACTTCACCAGCTTCTGCCAGCCAGTCTTGGGGAGGGAACCAGAGGGGTGGGGTACGGACACAGTCTGGTAGCTACTCTGAAGAATCCCTAAGATGGGGCAGAAGTCAGGGGGTGGGGACGGTTCCTTTCCCCAGGCCCTGATCTTGTGACGGGAGATGGGAGGGGAACCAAGTGGAACCCATGTCCTTGATGTAGGATTGCCCCAAGGTCATGGGACTTAGGCCACCATCACCCCAAGAAGGAAGCCACACTCATCTCCTCTGCTAGCCACTCTCCCCCCAGCTCCACCCACTCTGCCCCTCCTGGCGGGTCATAAGGTACAGCTTTCTGTCTGCCCTTCCCTCTTACTGAAGTGCTGCTCCTTCAACATAGCCGTGGCACATGGCCATCGACTTTGAAACTCCTTCTGCAGTAACCACAGGGGTCCTGTTTGCATTTCGTCCCTGCTGTCTCTTCCTGGGGGATGCATGAGCATGTGTGCTTTCTATGTTTGTTAGTTACAGCATCCACAGTTTTTACTGAGTTTGACTTGGCGAGGCCTCGACCACTTGAGCCACGCCCCAGCTCTTTTTCTTTAGTTTGTTTTTCAGATAGGATCACGGGCTTTTGTCCAGGCTGGACTTGGCCACATTCCTCTTACCACTGCCTCCTGAGTAGCTGGGAATTATAGGCATGAACCACCTGGCCCTGCATTGTACATTTTGATAATCTTAATTTTATATCATGGAACACTGTACAGGGTCATTGAACATTCTTTGTAAACATTTTTAGTAACTGTATACTATTTCATACTTTGGTGAGCCTATAATTTACCTAATTTCCTGTTTGCAAATAGGTAGCGTTTTTGCCCCCCTTGTGCTATTATCTGTACCTCTAAGTTTAGTGTGCCTTGTATAAATAAACTCACACTCTTATGTGTATGCTCCCTGTAGTCATGCAGCCTAGGAATTTTAATTGAGTCCTTTAGCATCAAGGGACATTAGAATTTTCAGAACTTTGTTCTCATTCCATCATTTTCGAGAAGTTTTAAGTTGCATTTTAGTTTCAAAGTTCACCAAGTGCTGCTTTTTTGAGGAAAAATAAAGTTCAAATTAGTGTGGCCCACTGTTACTTAGAACCCACAGTTTTTGGTCTGTATTTCACATTTTGTTCTCAAACAGGAACAAGTGCCAGGAAGTTCTCCCTCTCCCTCTCCCCCTCTCCCCCTCCCCCTCTGTCTCCCCAGAAGCAGGACCCCTTGGATCTAGTAGGTTCCGTGGTGTGGCCTGGGTGCTTTGGTGGCCTGACCTCCTCTTTTATGTATTTGTCGTTTGTTTGTTTGTTTGTTGATAGAGTCAGTAGCAGACAGCGAGACCCTAGAAGGTGAAAAAGCAGCAGAGAAGGGAACAGAGGCCTCCACAACTGAGATGGAAAAGGAGGAAGAGGAAGAAGAGGAAGACGAGAGCTCTCCAGGGTGCACTCTGTTTATTAAGAATCTCAACTTCAGCACCACAGAAGAGACGCTGAAGGAAGTGAGTGGGTTCAGGAGTGGGAGAATGGGGTGCACATGAAAATCCTAGCTACCGGTGCAGCTCCTGCATTTGTCTGCCTTTAGTCCTGGCTCCTGGTAATGTGAGTTTGCCTGTGGCCCCCTGCTGGGTGTCTAGGACGCGTCCGAGGAGGTATACTTCATATGGAAGTGATGCTCTGTTTACCTCATAGGTTTAGAAAACACCCTGCCCCAAACTATTCTAGCGGGGAGTGTCCCTGGCTTCATGGGAACACTGAAGACAGTTAGCAAGCGAGTGCCACCCCCGTGGAACTCCTAGACAGGGCCACAGTTCTGCGCTTAAGAGACACAGGCCAGGGTGAAAGGACAGGAAACTCCAAAAGGGCATTTGGTGAACATCAAGTGAGTGCCTCGGGGCCTCCAGCAGGATTGAGCCAGCGATCCAGAGAAGGGGCTCCAGTTCCAAAGTGGGGAGACTTGCCTTTCTGTAAGCTGAGCTCAGCCCAGAGTAAACCTTCATGGGTTTTTTTTTCATGAGTCGGGCTCCTGTCCTAGCATCTAATCAGACTGCAGACCCATGGGAGCTGTCAGTCCTTCTGGGCGTGGATCTCAGCTTCACTCCTTGCTCATGCTGTGACACCTGGCCAGTCCTGCAGCCCTTTTCTGCCTTAGTTTCCCCATCTGTCATGTGGAGTTGTGAGTAGACTGTTCTCACTAGGTTTTGAAGATTTGATTAGGACAGTTGAGATCACCCAAATGAAGTGCCTGACACTCAGCCCTGTGTGCTGCCCTGCTTCCTGGCACCCACCTGTGGACGTCACTGGCCCCTGCCTGTCCCTGGGCCCTGGTGTTCACTGCTGAAGACACAGCAGGAAACAGACCCATGGCTCAGAGTGCAGGGGCCAGTGAGGAGGAGGCCAGGCCTGAGCTCAGTGCACTCCATGCTGGCACCCGCTTCCCCTTGTGGCATGGGCTGCAGCAAATCTCCACTGCTCCAGACCCAGCTCTTCCCTCTACAGCTGGAGCAGGAAACAGCTCAACAGCCATGATGGAAATGCTGGGGAGTTACTTACAGCAGGCTGTGACTTGTCACTACAAAGTGTCTTAGGGACCCCAGGCTCTCAGTGTGGCAATCTTGGGAGGTTTAGAGCATGAACTCAGGAGCCCAGGCACCTGCGTCCACATTTCAGCTCCACCACTCCTTGTTCTGTGAGCCCAAGTACCAGCACTTAACTATGGAGCCTCGATTTTTTTCATCTGAAAAAATGGGCTTAGTACAGGGCCCAGCTGCCATAAGCACAACCCAGCTGTAAGCTCTGCGTCCTTTGTGCCTGCAACTGGTCATGTGGCTGCTGTGTTGAAGGTCCACCTGAATAGGCAGCAGGAGTCACCTGGATATGCAGGTGGTGCATGTTCGCTTTCTCTTCCAGGTGTTTTCCAAAGCTGGGGCAGTGAAGAGCTGCTCTGTCTCCAGGAAGAAGAACAAAGCAGGTATTGCACACATGATCGCAGAAAGAAAGGCTTCCAGAAGAAGCTGGGCATGGGAGCAAAGATCAGGGTGGCTCTGGAAGTTCTTTGGTTTCGAAGCATTCCCACCCTCCTAAATGTCCCTGTGTCTTTCCCCAGAGCCTTGTGCTTTCAGCAGAAGCAGCCTTGCACCTCAGCCTTGGTAGGCCCTTCATAGACTGTCAGGGGCAGCTTTGGAGCAGTGCAGTTAGTGGCCAGGCAGCGCTGACTGTGCTCAGCAGCCAGAGCCTCCACCTCCTCCTTCTGCCTCTGCTCTAGAAACTTCCCAGACACAGCAGTGAATGATCTTGGGCTTCTTCCTCCCTTCTGAGGGAAATAACCCAGATATAGAACTTCCAGAACATTCCACTGAGTCATTAACCCTGCTCAGTACGTGTGTAGGCCAGGCAGAGGCCATCCTTACCTCACCTATGGGCCCTGAGTCCTGTCCTGAGCCTCCTTGCCCCCATAAGGCCGCCATCCAGCCCTGATTTCCTGCGGGGATGGAAGTCCACATGCTTTTTCACACCATGTGGTCCCCATCCATGTCCCCTTTGATTTGGTAGCATTAGTAGGGATGCTGTGTGACTCAGCCCAATGCACCTGCTCTATGCAGACTGCTGGATAGCCATGGTGTCTGCTGTCCACTTGTCCCTCATACCGGGCCTCCAGGTGGGGAGCATGCATTAACTACACAGGTTCCCTGTCCCCAGGAGCTCACAGTACAATAGAGAGGCTGATGAGCTGGTGGCTACAGCACAGTGCTGTGAGGGGGATTATAGAGTCACTGTGGTGGGTCAGAAGCCCAACACGGTGGTCCTCACAGCAGACCAGAGCTTCGGGAAGCAGAATAGTCTGACAGCAAGGCTGCAGGAACCAAGTGTGACCTGCTCGGTGTCAGCAGGGAGATGACCTTGACTTTCTTGTGGTTATATTTCTTATAATCTAGATGCACTTTTTAAATACGTGTTCACAGGCACCACCCTCCATAAATTTCACGCCCCAAATGAGAGCTTTCTATCTGCTTGAAGAACCGGCATCAAAAGTCGCTGTGACACTGTGCTGTCAGCCGGCGACTCTTACAGGAGCCACATTTGGGCAATTGATGGAGCTTGCTAGCATGTTTGGCCCCTGATTCATAAAACACAAGGCTCTGGCCTCACAAACAGTACTATGTGGGTGAAGATAGGAATCACTCAGTGAGCCAGGGTTTGGGAATTTCCAACCTAAGTTAGGCACATCCAGTGTGCACTGCAAATATATCTTAAATTAAGAACTCTGAAATGCAGAGGTGGAGGAGGGGTGAGGACGCACAAAATTTTGTCATCTGAAACGCAGGAACCAGGCATGATTGTAAGGTCAGAAACACTTATAGACAGGATGCCTTTGGTACACTTTACATCCGTGCCCACATTCACCTGTGCTCCATATAGGAGCAGGGCTGGCCAGGTAGAGGTCTTACTACTCATCACAACCATGGTCATCCCTGTGAGTCCCCACCCACTCCCAAAGGCAGAATTCTATTATGAAGTTAATTGTGTCAATCATTTGTTAATTAATAGTCCACCAGGCTCGGGTGGTGGCTGTATAGCTTCACTGGCAGATTCCTGGGGGTGACTGTAAACAGCAAGCCAGGAGCTGAAGCCTTTGGTGGAAGGGAGGGGGTATGAAAAAGGAAAGAGAAAGCAGAGCAGGGGTCAGGGCCCGTGGAAGCCCTACACTTGGTCCTGAGTTCATCCTGGCTTCCTCTCCTCCCACCTGGTGGATTCTCCCCCTTCTCTTTCTCAGGAGTGCTGCTCTCCATGGGGTTTGGATTTGTGGAGTACAGGAAGCCAGAGCACGCCCAGAAAGCCCTCAGACAGCTGCAGGTAAACGGGGATTCACGGCTGAGGTTCATGGAGATACCTGGGAGGTGGCGGGGCGGTACCAGTCCACGTTTTCCTGGGTTCATCACTTTCCCTGGGGCCCATGTACAATTAACCTCTCTCACCCCTCCATGGTCATTCATTTCATCCATAACTTTTGTGGGCTTGGTTTGTACCAGGCACTGGGCTGAGCCTGGAGGAGACCCTTCCACTCTCTGGTAGGAAAGACAGGCAGCAGACCTCTACCAAATTTGAAAGACCAGGTCATGGCAAGTGCTTGGGTAAAAACAGTGCCACAGGGCTCCTCTAGGAAGTCTCTAAGGAGGTGGCTGTGGTGCTGACAGCAGCTGACACAGGAAATCTCTGCACAGAGGTCTAGAGGAGAGAAGAGCATGTATAGAGGGCTAGTGGATGAGCTGTATGTTTGGAAAGCAAAAAGAGGCCAGTGGGATGGGAACCAGGATACAAGGTGACGTGACAGGTATATGGAACCAGATCTCGTAGGCCATTTAAAGATAACTTGGGCCTGAAGGCAGGAAGTCTGTTAGAGGTCTTCAAGCTCCTTGGGCAAGGGTCTGATATGTGCTTTAGGTCAGTCTCCAAGCTGCTGTGTGGAAAGAGGACAGAAGGAAGGGGGCTGAGAAATTCTTGAGTCACCTGAGCAAGACACCTCTTGGGCCAGGGTGTAGCAACAAAGGTGGGAGAAGGGCATTGAGAAGTATTTGAACATAGACTCAATATCCTGGTCAGACAAAAGAGAGAGATGTCCCCATTCCCACCCCACCCCCACCCCCTTCCAGGCCTCTTCCTCACACTGGAAGGAGTGCTGGGACTGCAGGGAACAAGGCAGTCTGGGGTTTGCACCATCCCAGAGGGGGCCCAACTAACATCCATGTCCCCACTGCCAGGCTGGGGACACAGAACAAGGCTTTCTCTCTAGTTTGCGTTTGGTTTGTTATTAGGCACTGTATTCATTTAATGTAAATTCAGCAGTCTTTTCTGTTTCATGTATTTAATTCCACTTGTATAAAATTCCACTTGCACACATGTGTGTATAGTGTGCTGTTCTGTACAAAACTGTGCACATCACCACCAGCAGTTGTCTATGTGGAGCAATGCACACTGGATTTTCTGGGAGAGTTGAAGGATTTTCAGGGGTAATTTTGCTAACACACCAGTTTTGCCTTAGGGGACTGTGTAGACGTAGCTTGAGTACAGCTGTGTTTTCAAACTTTTCATAGAGTGTACAAACCAAATTCTCTGCAAGCCAGACCTAAAAATGTCTTTTACCTGAAACTTCCTGTAGAGATGGAAAATTCTGTGTCCCTTGGGTGGTAGAGAGGTCAGCAGATCGTGGAAGGCTGGGTCTCTGTGACACCGGCTGCTGTGTGGGTTGGCACCAGCCCTGTTAGGGAAAGTCATCTGTGTCCTCAGTTGTAGCCAGCCTCTCTGCCTGGGACAGGCATTCTCCTGCGCTCAGTGCAGGCTCAGCTCTGGTGACGGGCATGGAGGCGGCTAGGCTCTCTAAGGACAGAGGGATGAGCCATGTTGTCTTATGTCTTAGGGTCACATCATGGACGGCCACCAGCTGGAAGTGCGGATCTCAGAGCGAGCCACTAAGTGAGTCTCGAGCGGGCTTCTCTCTCTTCAGATGGGCATCGGTTCTCTCTGTCCTTGGTGCTGGCCTCCCAGAGGGTGTCTCATGGCCTTGAGATGTCCTTTCCACCGAGCTCCCATCCATGTAGGACTCCACTTACATAAGACTGGCACTTGCCGACTGTGGCACCCGTTTCCCTGCTTGCTCCAGGTAGTGCCAGCCACTTGGTGGGTGTTTCATACACTGTGTTTTTTCCAGAGATGCCTCCTGCTAATTTGAAAGACATTCAGTGGTGCTAGAGATGGAGGCAGGCCAGTTGCCTGGTGACCATTTTCTGGGATAGTGGGGCATCAAGAGTTTTGCTCCGGTGTCTCTACCTGCTTGTACATCTCAGTGAACCAGTGCCTTAGAGGGCCGTCAACAGGGCCCAGCACATAGCATGCCCCTGGAAAGCTATTGGAGTCGTTGTCGCTATCATGCACTTGCCTTAGTGAGAAAGGACTGCCTCTAACAGTCCTCACTGGTTTAAGATACTTACTTGGTAATTTTCAGCAAGTTGGTCATTTACTGTGGTCATTTGTTCAACAAATTAGCTGCTGGAATCTGGTCCTTTTTCCTCCTTCTCTTTTGTTTTTAATGCTCCTTATGACTCTAGCTTAGGGCAGCTCTGGGCTTTTCCATCCATCACAGTCTGTGCTACGTTGAGCATCCTTAGTGAGAGGAAGCTTTGGTGCAGGCCCCCGCAATGGGGGCTCCTAATCTGTAGGTAGCAGCACAGGCTTGAGCACCACACTTCAGATTCTAACTTAGCTGCTCTGTGAGCTTGGGCAGTGACTTGGCCTGGGGAGTAAGATGCGATGACTGGGGGCCTGTGTATATTATCTGGGACATGCCGTGCCCATGAGCACTCAGTTCGAGTGGCAGGCTTCCTTTGCAGGGAGGGCCCTGTCTCCAGAGCCAGCCTGGAGTCAGCATTGTGAGCGTCTGCCCACTGGCCAGTGTTCAGGGAATAGTTCTTTTTTTTTTTTTTTTTTTTTTTTTAACAAAAAAAATTGAGGAAATTGGAGTGCTCCAGACATTCTTCTTGGGGCTGGGCTGGGGTTTCCTTGTGGAGTTCACATCAAAGGGCAGTGCTCCCGAGAGAACCTTCCACAGTGGTGGAAATGGTCCCACTGTACTGCCATTTGTCACACGTGGCTGTCAAGTACCACTGCATGAGTTGTCTGCTGCTTTGTAACGAGCTCCCCCAAACTCAACAGCTTGCGACAGTGAGCGCTTACAGTCTCTGGGTTCTGTGGATTGGGAGTTCAGGAGCAGCTCAGCTGGGTTCAGGATGGTGCAGTTACATAAAGGCTGAACTGGGACTGAGGAGTCGGCTTCTGAGGTGTCACTTGTATGGCTGTGGGCGAGAAGCCTCGGGGCTGCTTGAGGGTCCTGACAGCATGGTAGCCGAGTGATAGACAGCAAGAAGGAAGCAGCAGTGCTTTCCATGACAGTTTCAGAGGTTGCATAGTCACTTTAGCTGCTTTCTGTGGCCCTGGCATGGTGGGGGGCAGAGGCTTACATAAGGAACATGAGGCCAGGGTCCTGGGAACCACTGGAGGCTGGCAGCACAGCCACCAAGGGCCTAAGTTCTTAATTGTGCTTCATCTTAACTTAGTTCACTCCACATGTGGGGGCAGTGTAGTGAACAGCACTGCCAAGAGGGACAAGATAGACAAACAGAGAGACAAGGAGACGTGGTTAAATATGCAGTGCTGCCAGGGTGCATGCCGGGTGATGGGGCCATATCAGTGAAGACAGAGAGGCCTCCAAAGAGATGACAGAGTTCAGGGAAAGAGGGAGGAGGTGAGTCGTGACAAGTCAGTATACATACCAGTATAAATGATAGGACAAGGACTATCATTTATTCGATGCTTACATTGATGGTGGGGCTAGTACTGGGTCCTCTCATTAAATCCTCAAACACTCCATGACCTTAACACTCACCCCCTGTTCTACATTCAGGAAACTGAGGTGCAGAGAGGCTGAGTAACTTGCTTGAGATCACGCAGCCTGAACCCACCTTGCCCACCTGGCTGCTCGGGCCCTGCCAGGTTCCCCTTGGGTTAGTGGTGAAGTGGCTTTGGAACCAGCCAGGGTCCTTTGAGGACAAAGCAGTGGGGAAGAGTAGGACCGATCTCCTCCGGTCATCTTGGCCGCCTCCATGCGCTACTTGGTTCATCACCTGAACAAGACAGGAGCATTGGTTGTGGGTGGGAAGGTGGTGGAGCCAGTGTAGATCATTGGTGCACCAATAATCCACACCTTTCTCTCTCCACCCCAAAGGCCAGCTGTGCCATCTGCACGGAAGAAACAAGTTCCTAAGAAACAGACGACCTCAAAGATCCTGGTGCGGAATATCCCCTTCCAGGCCAACCACCGGGAGGTCCGGGAGCTGTTCAGGTAGGTGCCCATGTGTGTCCGTGGCACCGCTGGAGCCTGACAAGTGGCCGTGGGTCCCGGACGGTTCTGCTGCAGGCCAGCGTGGTGGCTTTGCAAAGGGCTTTGCCTTTGATTTATCTCCCTTAATCTCAGAGGCCTTGGGCGGAAAGGTCACAAGCAGCTGGGCTCCCCTCTCAGGTGAGAAGGCAAGGCAGCTGGGTCCCTTCATCCTGCCCACAGCCTCAGGACTGGCCTGAGCCCCAGTGACTGACTCTTGTCCCCACCTGCATCTGCCTGAAGTGTCCTCTCTCTCAGCCCCCTCTCTCGTTGAAGCCAGTGGCTCTCCACCTTAGGCACATTCACATCACTGGTGACTGACAGACACCCTTTGCTTGTCCCACCCAGAGAATCTTCCCTTAGTGGCCCTGATGTCCAGCCAGGCACGGGAGCCCTGATTCAAGCTGCTCTCTGGAAAGCCCCTCTGAAAGGGAATTGTGTAACACAAGCCATTGTCACCTGAGCACAGGAGGGGGAGCTCCAGTAGTGAGACTCAAGGGCACTGAGGTGGGAGCCAGGCAGGTATTGGATTGGATTTAACAGGACCCGTTCTTCTGCTCAAGTTCTGAAAGACAGTCTAGGAGTCTGAATTCTTAGGGGGAAATTAAATTCTTAGCCATGGGTTCACTCTCTGAAAACAACCTATGCAGAACAAAGCCATCCCACCCCAGGGCCACCAGTATATGGGTGTTCTGCTGGCACATTGTGGGTTTTGGACCTTTTAGGCTGATTAGGTGTCACCCAGCTCTGAGCCATGAGCAAAGGAGGTGTTTCAGTGACGGCTAAGAGGGACATATGAGGTCCAGGGGCTCCCTAGGCTGCTAGGTGCAGAGAGGCCATGGTGGCTCTCAGAATGTAGCAGTGGGTGAACTAGCCCCAGCCAAGCATAGGCTTCGGGGTGCTCTGAGGACCTACAGCCCAGGATCTGCACAGGGTGACCGTTTGTGACGCTTCATCCTGGGCCGTGGTCCTTCAGATTCTTCCACGTGAAGATCAGGCATGTGATCTTTTAGAATTGCCAGTTGGCACCTTGTGGGGTAAAGTATGAATCAAGATGAGGCCTGAAGTTTGGAGAAAGCCTGTGTGTGAAATTTGCCCTCTCCGCCCTCCTCCCCGTTCATTCTGAGTCTAGCGGGAGCTGACATCAAAACGCCATCCCCACTGAGTGGAGTTGTGGTCCCAGGTATCCTGCCTATCAGAACCAGGCTGGTGAGATGGGGGTCACAACTTAGGGGACATTTTCTGTGACACCCAGGGAGGTCAGTCAGCAGTTCTGAGGTCATGGTCACAATGAGTACATGTCACGTGTGTCTGCTTGTCTTTACTTGCTTCTGCTTTTTAAAAAGAGTCCAATTTAAGAATTGCCAGATGAAAACGAGCACACTGGGACAGTGTATTGTTGATCAGGAAGTAATATCCTCAGAAATGACAGGTGTACGTGGTCCCATACTGTTTAGGGTGACACTTATCCAGTGAAACAAAAGAGTGCAGGGAATGGGGAGCACTCTGTTTGAAATCCACTGTTCTCTCTATTTTTAGAAGACAAGGAATTAGTGTCTGCTGGACTTAATTACCTGTGGCGTCTCTTCTCCCACTCTACACACACACACACACACCCCACACCCCACACACCCCCCCCCACACCCCACCATTGTTCTGACAGGAGTTTTCATAAGCCTCCACACACACACCACACCACACACACACACACACACACACGCACACACACACACCACACACACACACACACACACACCACACACCATTGTTCTGACAGGAGTTTTCATAAGCCTCCACACACACACCACAACACACACACACACACACACACACACACCCCACACACCATTGTTCTGACAGGAGTTTTCATAAGCCTCCACACACACACCACAACACACACACACACCACACACACACACCACACCACACCACACACACACACACACACACACACACACACACACACACACACACACACCACCCCCCCCCCCACAATGTTCTGAAGCCTCCATGCAGGACTCTACCTTGCTTTTGTTGTTCAAAGGACTGGGAATTGGGGCAGTTTCTAGTGGTGGACAGCAGGTGTCGCTGTGAACCTTCCCAGGGACACAGCCAGGTCCACCCAGAGCCCTAGGCTGAATTGCAGACAAAGCCACTGGCCAGCAAAGGTCACTGGCCTTGGGGAGGTTTCATGGTTTGGGGGATCCAGTCTGGTCTGTGTGTCAGGAAGGTTTGGGGGCTGTTCCTGTAGGTGTAGCAGAAATCCCAGACCATTTTCAGAGAATGCACCTGTGTAGTGCTCTGTGCCTGGTGTCTACCCGGGCAGAATCTGCTCTAAGTGGCACATAGTCCTGGGATGGGACAGCTACAGAAGGTGACTGACAACTGAGCCAGGAGCCCCAGAGCTGGGCTTGGAACCACTCCCCTCTCCAAGGCCTAGGAGGACCCTCCATCCCAAGTTCATTTTGGTGGGAACACTATGTGTGACAAGTGTGTCACTTGTAGCAGGCACTGCAAGGTGCTGGGCATTCAGCTGAGTCAGGAGAGACCCAGGCCCTGTCTCCACTGCCCCCTGCCTTGGGTGGGGGGTTGGAGAACAGCATTGGCTGGGCCCTTCTTGGAGGCCTTACCTCCTCTGGGCCTCACTGCACTGCCCTGCGGCCCCTTGAGCCAGCCCAACTCTGCCCTAGCAGGGGCCAGATATCCGGGGTCCACTGGGATCATTGTCTGGGACAACTTGAGGATAGCCCTTTCAAAAATCAGGGCGAGCATCTTCCCTCTGCTGCTCACTTCCTGGGCCTCAGTTTCCCTGGTGTACCGGGATCATGCTGATACTGGTGCTGGCCTGCACTGTGGCAGGTGATGGTGATGCCAGGTAAACATCGGTGCTGTTGTGCTATGCACTGGTCCACCATGCAGATTGGTTATCACTGTCTCCATTTCCCAGGAAAAACCAGCTCCAGGGCCCACACTGGCCACTCAGTGGTCACAGGCCTTGGCTGTCACCCAGCTCCCTCCTTTACCACATGGCGGCTTCGGCCTGGTGAGGGTTTGGTGAGGTTGTGAGACGTGTAAAACACTCAGTGCAGCACCTGGCTGATATGTGTTAACTAGTTAAACAGCACCAAACCTGCAGAGCCAGGATTTGAACCCAGGGTCTGTAGCTGACTCCAGATGAAGCCTGCATCTTTAAGAACAAGGCTGAACTCTGGAAGGTTCTCCTCAGTGTTTCCTTGTTATCCTCCTTTCCCCAAGTATATCCCTCCCTCCCATGCTGTCATCCTCTCTGCTCTGCCAGGAGGGCTTGAGGGCAGGGTCAGTAAGGACCACGTGGGACCAGCCAAGCTGGTCCTCTCCACATCCAGAAGTCATTGAGAAAGATAGGCCCTAGATTGCGCACGTGTGCCTGTGCACATGCAGGGCAGCTGTGGGAACCAGAGCCAGGGCTCAGACTTAGGTTAGTTTGGGTTGCAAAAGGGGAAAAGTCTTCTCCCACAGCCCCTCTCCTCCTGCATCCCAGCTGGCCTCACGTCTGCCCTCGAACTTCTGTCATGTGGTTGTTCTGTGTACCAAACCCCAATCCCATTAGGTCGGACACTGTCAAGTTCATGCTGTGCCCACAGACGCCTGGGGCTCAGGAAGTGGTCACTGAGCACGTGGTGAAGACCAGTCATGTCTTCAGGCACAGAGAGGTTCAGGAGTTTGTCTGGGGTCACACAGCTCTGTAGTGGAACAGCAAGCTCCCCCAGTAGAACCTGCCCATCCCTCTAGAACTGGAATTGTCCTGAAGGACCAGGGATGTCCTGCAAGGGTGGCCAGCACTGCCTCCAATGGATCCGATCAGCCAGAGCTGCAGGCTCCAGATGGAAAGCTGCTGCTTTTTTTTTTTTTTTTCCTATTGATTTCTCCCTCAGAGGTGTGAACCACCTGCTGGGGTGTGAATGGGCGAGTTCACAACAGGTGTCTGCAGGCCTTAATTACACACTGGCATCTCCTGTCCCCAACATGCAGCCTTTGTGGACAGTGCCATCCATCCCTGTCTGCCTTACCTTCTCATTTCCCCTCACAGTGCCTGTGACCATGCAGGGAATGCTGGGGATGCCCTGCTCACCCGCATCCCTGTGTCCAGGCATGGGCACTCTGCCTGGTCAATGCCTGGCTGTGGGCAGTGTTTTTCCAAAAGCTGGCAGCCCTTTCATCTGCCCTCAGCAGAGAGGGGTGGGATGGGGATGGGATGAGGAGGGAAGGGGAGGCTTTCTCTCCTGACTCTCTGGGAAGATGCTCCAGCTCCAGCCCTAGCTAGGCTCTTGATGGGGTAGAATGAGGAGGACGAAGCTGTCCCCAGGTGCCCCTGCCCTGCACTGGCCTCTTCTAGATGTACTGCCACAGGACTGTGGGTTCTAGTTTCAATTACACAAACAAAGTATTTTTCTTACACCTTATAAAGCCTGCAGGAGTAACTAATAGCATCACAGCCCATGACCCTGGTGAGAGCTGGAGGTGGTGTCCAGCCCACTCAGGGGTTCACCTCAGGGGCACGTTCCTGCCCTGACCCATGCTCTTCCTGCTTTGCTGAGATTGGCAGGAGGGAATGAATGCGTGCACTCTGCTCCAGCTTCTGCAGGGAACCTGGATTGACTGCCCCCACTGCCCAAGTCCTCAGGTGTTTATGAGGCATCTGACCCTCACAGGTGTGCTGCCAGGCGCTGCGGGGGAGTAGGGAGCAGGAATGAGGCAGGCAGAGCCCTAGCCTCATAACACTTGTGTGTATGAAAGTAAACAAATGAATCTTATAGCTGGTGATCCGCAGGCTCTCAAGAAGGGCAGAGCAAGCTGCAGGAGTGATGGGAACCAGGGCTGCCATGATTACTGCTGCAGGCAGGGTGGCTGTAAGCCGCAAGGATGTGGCCTATGGTGGTTTGAGGCCACAAGTACCCACTCGAGGTGTAGGCAGGGCTGGGCCA